CCAGAGCCAGGCCTGGGTTGGGAGGAAGGGAAGGACCTCTCTCGGTCTTTTTATTAAAGCCTTTGATTTCTGGTGATGTCCTTGCCAGCTGAGCGTGGAAAGGTGTGAGATGGTTCCAGAACACCTGGGAGGCTTCAAGTGTGCTGCTGCTTATGACCAGGAGTCCCCGGCAAACCGAAGCGTTAGTGACTTGTGAACGAGGAGGTCTGACGCATGTTCTAGAAGGACACAATGGGGGAGAGCGTGAGAGGCCAAGAGCAGCACCACAGAAGGTTGCGGCCATCCTCCAGATGTCAAGCTGCTAAGCCCAGCTCCCTAGAAAAGAAAAAGAGCCTTCTGATTCTTTGGACCTAAGGCTCCTATGTTCTCCTTCTATCCCTCACCTCTCCATCCAACCCCTATCCCCCACTCATCTCTCTGTCCATCCACCATTCCCCATCTTTCCCCACCCATTCACCCACCACCCATCCATGCACGTATTTATGCACCCACACATCTACCCATCATTCTACCCATGCACACATTCTACTCATCTGTCTGCCTGTCCATCTATCCCTCATTCACCCATCCACCCACTCAGCCCTCTTCTACCTAATAACTCAGCCCCCATTTAAACTTCTCAAAAGCAAGGGAGTCTGCCTTGTTCACTTCTATACTCCAGCCCCTACAGCAGCACTGGCACATAGACGTTCAGTGCCTAATAAACCTTCAGTGAATTTGTCCATCCATTTATCCATTCATCCATTTGCCTGCCCCATCGGCTCATCCGCTCACCCATGCCCCGACTCAATATATTGCCCACCTACAATGACCTATAATTCGAGGGGCAGTTCAAAGATCTGTAGGCTTCCATGTTCTTGAGGATGAGGAAGGGAAAGTCTCTTGGGACCATGGGGTGCTGCCCAGGGGATGAGAGGGTATTGGCTCAGGATGAAATTCTCAACCAAGTGCCATTTGGGAAGGAACAGGAAACCACTGTACGGACAGATAGGGCCCTTACAGAGCATCTTGTCCAAGGCCCCCATTTGACATATGGGGAGAAAGGAAGCAACTTGCACAAGGCTAACTATCAGGTTGAGAGCAGATTAGCTGTTAAGGCCCAGGGCTCTCCTGCTACTTCAAGCTGCTTCTAACACCAAAGCCCAACTGGGAAATTTCAAATGTCCCAAAGGCACTAGAAGGCCAGCTCCCTGAGGTTAAGAATTGTGCCACTGGTCTTGGTCATGAACATTGGAAGTAGCAGCCCCAGAAAACTGACCATCCCTAACACCTGGTGGACCCGGCACATACTAGACACTCAATAAACATCTGCGGTCAGCTCCTTCTCGGCCTTCCTCATGACCCCCTCTCTCCTCCTCCACCAACTCCTCACATGGAGAGATTCTTCCGGACTCCAGCCTCTGCGCCCTCTTCCTGCTTACTCTGCATACCGCCCCCCCAACAGCCTTCAACTGCTGACCCCCTCCTAAATCCAATTTCTATCACCAGCCCAGACGTCCCTGGTGAGTTCTGAAGCCCTATTTCCAACTATCTACATGGTATTTCCACCTGGTCTTCCCAGGGGCACGGAGGTCAACCTACCCTCACCAGGCAACCAACCCTCCTCCAGACTGAGGAGGCTGGCATGGCTGAGAACAGAGGGAGACAAGGTGAACAGTTCCAAGCAATGAGGTCAGAGAGACAGTGGGGTGGGGGGAGACAAGAGGCCCTGTAAGCCACTGAAGGACTTTGGCTTTTCCTCTGAAGCGGGGAACTATTGTCATCATGGTGTTCAGAGCAGAAGCATGACATCATCAGACTTAAGTTACAGAAGTCAGAAATGTGGGGGCGGGTCATCTGACTTCCTCTTTCCCCCCCCCCCACCATTTCTATTCAATGACCAAACTCCGTTTTCCTGGTCTTTATTTCTCATATCTGCCCCTCTTCTCATCTCTACTATTACCATGACAATTCAGGAGCCGATCCTCACTGGCTTAGTCTCTTGGCGTAACTGCTAACTGGCCTCCACCTCTCATCTCCCCTTTCCAGCTCACTCCCCCCACTGACCACCGGAGTGACTATCTAAAATTACAACCTCCCTTGCTCAAATCTTTTCAGGGGCTCCTGATCTTAAGGCACGCACGCATGAGGTCTCTGAGTAGACCCGGACTACCATGCCTCTGTACTCCAGCACCTAAACTGCCCTCTGATCCCACTTTCTCTCCCACCCTAAGAACACAGACACACTCCCATTCACTCTGCTGAAACTCACCTCATGTCTTTGCTCGTACAAGCCCTACCACTTGGAATACCCTGACCAACCCATTTTTTTCCTGGAAGATTCTTTCTTTTCTTTTTCTTTTTTTTAAAAAGATTTTATTCATTTATTTGAGAGAGAAGGAGAGCACGAGAGGGGGAAGGGTCAGAGGGAGAAGCAGGCTCCCCGCTGAGCAGGGCAACGGACGTGGGGCTCGATCCCAGGACTCCGGGACCATGACCTGAGCCAAAGGCAGCCGCTTATCCTACTGAGCCACCCAGGTGCCCCTGGAAGATTCTTTCTTTAGATGTCACCTCCACCAGGAAGCTCCATGATTCCTTTCCTTCCTATCCCAAGGCTGGGATAAGCGCTCTTCTCGTTTCCAATTCTATTATAGGCACTGATCCATATCATGTTGTAATTGACCATCTACTTGACTAGCACCACGCTAAACTGTGAACTCTTCAAGGGCAGAGACTGTATCCTTCATTTCTGGGTCCCGAGCTCCTAAAACCGGGACTGGCATATCCTGTGAACTTTAAATGTTTGGTTAATATTGAATGGCCTTGTCATTCGTGGAATCAGTATATACCTTGTCACGAGGGGACGGCAGGAGGTGGGCCTTGGTGCGGGTACGGTTTCTGTCAGAACTAGAGAAGGCAGAGGGAAAGGGGAGGGCTGAGAATTTGGAATTTGAGGATCAGAGCAGAAGAGAATCAGACTACACGGTTTTAAAATTTCCCTACCCTGCTAGGATGTTGTTAAACCCTCGCTCTCTCCCCTTCAGTCTCCTCATCCTTCTCCCAGGACAAAGGGCATCTCCCTTGAAGCTTCACTCACCAGGTATCGGTGCCTCGGGTCTTGAAGGACACTGGAAGTAGAGGCCCGAGTCAGAGAAATTATTACTCCCACAGCCAGAAAGAGATGTGGCTAGGGAGAAAGGTGCTGAGGTGTTCCTGGCCAGCAGTGAGGAGTGGGTACTGGGTGAGTTGGAGCGGGGGAGCACTGCGCAGTCCAAGGGCTGGCTGTGCGTTCAGGGAGGTGGGCCCAGATTGCTGGAAAGGTCAGCTGTGGTTGGGAGGGGTTAGGGACTGGAACTCGGGGCATGGTAGGGTCTCCGGACACAGTGGTCCTGGAGTGGGGGGGTCACCGTGTTTGGATATCTGAGTCCCTCGATCTTGGGTCTGTTTTTCCTTGGTGGGCACAGAGTTCATGTGGCAGCCAGCGATAAACAAGGCCTCATTGGTGAGTTCTGTGCTGATCCGGGTCAGGAATTCCTCAGATCGGGATAACGAAACCTTCTGCAAAAGGGGAAATCAGAGGGGCTCAGCCTGGGCGTTCCCACAGGGGAGCCCTGGGTCTGGGTCTGAGGTCTGAGTCTGGTATTGGAGGGCTGATTCTTGAGATTTGGCAGAGAAGGCACTGGAAATGAGAGGCAGTCTTTGAGAACCTCAGGGCCAAGTGCTGGGGGCTCTGGGCTCAGGGCTGAGAGTAGAGTCTCAAGGCTGGAGGTGTCAGTGCCCTTGGCCTAGGAGCTCTCCATCCACTTCGGCTCACTCCCATGCTCACCAGGCTTCCACCCGAGGGGGTTGCAGCTTGGGACATCCTGCTGCCCTTCTCCCCATTCCTGGTAGGTGTGGATGCCATCCCCCTGGAAACAGGTGACACCTGTGTTAGGCTGAGAAACCAGCCCACTTTCCCCAAACCCGTGCCACCACCATTCTTCAAGGGCCAGATTTAAGTAAGGCCTTTGGATGAACCATCCTGCTGTGCGGTTCTCTCCCTGCAAAAACAAATCTTTGCCTTAAATCTCCCTGGGGGAGGGAGTGGGGTGGCCCAGGAGCACTCTCCTTCCTCCCACCGAGGCCCTTCCCAAGACAAGGCGCCAGCCGGCTTCCTGCTCCCCACCTGGCAGATGAGTTGAAATCTTGGGCAGGAGGGAAAAACAGGGAGGGCTAAGAAGCCGCTGTTTAGGTCTCAGGGGACGGGGAGTAGGAGCTGGAGAGGAAGACTGGGAAGAGGGGGACCCGGGGCGGTGCAGCTACCCGTTGTTATAAAAACCTTGCTGTCTGTGGACGTTCTGCAGCCCCGTTGCCAGGATATTAGGGATTCTAGAACCAAAGGCGGGGGCCGGATGGGGGGGGGCATTTTCCCAGCACGTCGCATTCGCTCCTCTGGTCTCCGTTCCACCTCCTTTCGGATCCCTCCTTGGGGATGGTGACCCCAGCGCCGGAAGTCTGAGACACCGAATCCTCCTGCCACTAGGGGCGCGCAAGAAGCAACCCCGCCCTCGGCCGCCCTCCAGCCTCTCTAGCCGCTCTCTCGCGGCCTGGAGCCAGCGAGAGCAAATGAGGCCGGAGGTAGGGGGCGGGGCAGGAAAAAAAAAAAACTGTGGGCTGTACTAAATAACCTTGCCTCTCGGGGACGCGTAGACCCGGGTGGCGGAATGTTTTCCCCTTGTCCTGTCTCCAGGAAGCTATACCCTCCGGAGAAAGGAAAGGAGAATCAGTCGTCGAGACCCCCTTCTCTTTTGACCTCTCCTTCTGGGTGCCCCCGCCCCCTGCTCGGCGCCGAGGCTTCTCTGCCCCTCTCCTCCCTCTGCGCTTTGGTACGCGCCGATGGAAAGGGGCGGAGGGAGGAAAAGGAAGCGGGCAGGTCTTAAAGGGGCCGCAGCCATTCTTAAGCTTTTTTTTTTTTTTTTTTTTTTTTCCCCCCTCCAGTTTGGCCCGCCCGGGTGCGGCTGGGGCGACAGGGGCGGCCGCTGGAGGCGGGAGGGGCTGCCCCCAGGGAGGGCGGGCTGTGCGCGCCCCTACGCCCGACGCACCTCGCGGCCGGCCCATGCTCCGGCGGGCGGCGAGCTCTAACACCTGGGGCCGGGCGGGGACGGCGGGGGCCTGCGCGCTGTGGGCGCGGCCGATCCGCGGAGCCGGAGGGTGAGGCCGCGCGGCGGGGCTGGGACTCGGTTGCCACCTCCAGATCGGGCCCGGGGCGGCAAGGGGGGCCGCCGCGATGCCAGGTGAAAATATCTTCCTGTTTGTGCCTAACCTCATCGGTGAGTGCTGCCCGGGGCTCCCGGCCGAGCGGGAGGGCGAGGGGGCTTGGGCAGGGTCCCTGATCCCGCTCTGTCTGCCCCCGTCCATCCCAAGGTTATGCCCGGATTGTCTTCGCCATCGTTTCTTTCTACTTCATGCCCTGCTGCCCCCTCACGGCCTCTTCCTTCTACTTGCTCAGCGGACTTCTGGACGCTTTCGATGGACACGCTGCTCGAGCCCTTAATCAAGGTGACAGACACCTCCTCCCAGCCAGTCTTGAGGCCCAACCACCCTCCGTCCCCTTTTCCTGCCTCGTCAGGACCTGGGGGCGGGCGGGAACTCAGGAACCTGAGGGCCCCGTCCTTCCCATTTCTGTAGAAAGCAGAACAGAATGGCCCACTTTCGTAGCAGAAGGGATTTAAGCCTGCTGTTGAGAAGAACTTACTGACAGGCTGTGGGGTAGCAAGACTGGACATGGCAGTGCTGGAGGTCTCCCTGAAGAAAAACCCGTTCAACAGGTGTTTCCGGGGGGGCTACTGTGTGCCAGGCACAAGGATTAGGGGTTCCAGAAGCCATGTTTAGAGGGAGAATGGAGAGGGAAGAAGGATGGTTTCTGCAGAGTCAATTAATTTTTTAATCTGTTCTCCAAACCCACCTGCAAGACCTCCCCCAAAACTTGAAGTCTGCTTGTCTGGAGCCCTGGACCCTTGGTTCTGGGATTGATGAGCCGCAGAGCTAGCTTTCTCATGCCCCGCTCCGGCCCCCATGCCTCCTCATTTCCTCTCACAGTGACCCCTGCCCGTTGACCTCACACCCAACAGATAGCAACAGCCTATTTTCCTCCCCCGGCAGTGGACAGTGGACATTTTCAATCTTCTTTTAGATTCTGCATCAGAATGACACGCCAAATATGGTTCCTGTCACAGACCCACTGCCCCCGATGGCCCCTTCCCACCTAACAGCCTGCGTTTTTCAGGGACCCGGTTTGGGGCCATGCTGGACATGCTGACGGACCGCTGCTCCACCATGTGTCTGCTGGTCAACCTGGCCCTGCTGTACCCACGGGCCACCCTTCTCTTCCAGCTCAGCATGAGCCTGGATGTGGCCAGCCACTGGCTGCACCTCCACAGGTCTGCAGTTCTGGGGGTGCTGGCCAGCTGAAGACACTACAGTGGGGAGGGGTGAGGCTATATGGAGGGTGTCTGGAAAGCCTTCAGGCTTCCTGGGAGGTCTCCCTCGTAGCTCTGCTTTGTTGAAGGACCCTGGGCAAAGCCTCTATCAGGTCCGGTCCTGTTCGCAGGTGGATTAAGCAATCCCTAAAAGTCCTGATTGGATAGTCCGAGAATTCCAAATAGATAAACGGCTGGGGGCTTTGGAATGTCGTATTTGAATCCTGACTCTGCTAGGTCATTACCAGCTAGGTAGTTGTGTGGCTTTGGGCAAGACCTCAGTTCTTAGCTGAGCCCCATTTCGTGCCCCGTCTCCTCTGTTCAGTAGAGGCAATCCCAGCACCTACCTAGGAGGATTCAATGGACGTTAGTGGTAAGAAGTGCGCATGTATTCTCCCTGCTTTCTCCCCAAGTTCTGTGGTCCGAGGCAGTGAGAGTCACAAGATGATTGACCTGTCTGGAAATCCGGTGCTTCGCATCTACTACACCTCCAGAGTGAGCATTTCCCGCCCCCCCCCCCCCCCCCCCCACTTATTCCCTCACCTTATGCCAAGCCCTGGGCTGAGCCCTGATCCTAGGTTAGGAGAAGGCATGAGCACAAGGAGGGACACGCCAACCCAGGGGAGACTCCGGTGGGGAGAGGCCTGGAAGCTGAGGCATGAAGGAGGGTAGGATTGGTGGGGAGGGTCCGTGTGCCTTATGGAGGGCAGCAGAAGGGAGGGAGGGAGAGAGAAGCCAGACTGGCCTGCGGGGCCAGTTCTCAACGAGCCTTAGGCCATAAAGGAGAAAGTCTTAGGCCACGTGGGCTTTATTCTGGGAGCACACATAGTGTCTGAAAGGATTTTTAAAGAGAAAAGTAATATGCTGAGATTTCTCTTTCACCCTCACCTCACCCCTGCACTCCTGTACCCCGGTACGGTATGATAGGGTTCCTTCCTGCTACCCATCCTGCAGAGGGTTCTGGCCCCTGTCCTTTAGCTGGGGGGAGGGGCGGCACTGCTTAAGCAACCCTTTTGCTCTTTGTGCAGCCTGCCCTGTTTACCCTGTGTGCTGGAAATGAGCTCTTCTACTGCCTTCTCTACCTGTTCCATTTCTCCGAGGGACCTTTAGGTAGGAGGCGAGGGGCTGGGCGGGAGGGTGGGAGGAACCCCTGGCCTGCCCGCAGTGATGGTGGCCTGGAGGCTGCAGACTCCTGGGCCTCCTCTCCCTCACCTGCATCCCGTTTTCTCTGTATCGCCCGGGCTCCCTTCCACAGTTGGCTCTGTGGGTCTTTTCCGAGTGGGCCTCTGGATCACCGCCCCCGTCGCGGCGCTCAAGTCTCTCATCAGTGTCGTCCACCTGGTCACAGCCGCCCGCAACATGGCTGCCCTGGATGCGGCAGACCGAGCCAGGAAGAAGTGACCCCGGAATCTCCAGCCCCTGGCCACCCACCTGCCCTGGGGAGTCTCGCTGGGTCGCATGGCTCCCCTCTCCCTCCTGCGAGGGCCCAGGCTCCCGTCTTCCTAATGTGTTGTCCGGCCTGCTGGGAAGGGGGGTTGGCCTCTTGGGTGATGCCATGTTCTCCAGAGTCCTGAGGACCAGTCCCACCCCTGGGATTCCCAAGGACCTGGACTTCAAATCAGGGAGGATCCTCAGGAGGCCCCGGCCATACGGGCAGTGCTCCTGGGACACCAAGAGGCCTGAGGACCTGGCATTGTCGCACCTGCTGGCTCAGCCCACGGATCTGGCTTGGCCTGGGACGTTAGGGACACTTGAGTGAGGGAGATGGGGTAGGGGCCAGGTTTCTCAGAAGGCGGGGAGTCAGAGCTGTGCCCCTGGCCCCAGGAAGCCTGGGGTACCCCGGCCAGGAGAGAAGGGGGCGTGTCGGTCCTTTCCCATATCATTCTCCTGTGTCCGGTCCTGGCTCTGAAAACCTCCATAATAGGGGGTGTGGTGAGGGGGGCGGAGGCGGCTTCACTCTCCAGGACTTGGTTTCCTTTGAGATACTCTTGGACCAGGGCCTGGTTGAGGGGAGCTGGGGGGAAAAGGAAGATCCATCTGGACGCTTTTCTCCTAGTTGTTTCCTAGCCGGCTCTGCCCTGTCATTCCACCGTGACCTCAGAGAGAGGGCCTCCCTGCCACCCAAGCTCATGCCCTCTCTTTGCCCACCTTCTTTACCACATTGTGACTGGCTGTCTCCATTTTTTTGTATACCTCACATTTTCTACCCTCACCAGAATGTAAACTCCCTGAGGGCACAGACTTTTCTTCTTCCTTCTCTATTCCCACGATGAAGATGAACCTTAACCTGGCATATCATAGCCACTTAATAAAATTCACGAACAGATCAGTTGGTTTCTCAGTGTGGTCCTTAGATCACCTGTGGATTATTATCTTTTTAAAGATTTTATTTGTCAGAACGAGAGAGCACAAGCAGGGGGAGTGGCAGGCAGAGGGAGGAGCAGACTCCCCACTGAGCAGGGACCTCGATGCAGGACTCGACCCCAGGACCCTGGGATCATGACCCGAGCTGAAAGCAGATGCTTAACCGACTGAGCCACCCAGGCGCCCCGCCTGTGGATTATTTCTTAAAAATTCAGCTGTTTGGACCCTGTGCCAGACCTTTAGAGCCGGCATCCCTAGGGATGGGCCCAGTTGCTATTTTAATAAACAGCAGGTGATTGATTCTTCCCCATAATGTTGAGAATCACTGTTCTGTCTTAAGCAGTTTGGGGGCACTTACTGTGTCATGGACCTTGTTCTGGGCATCTGTCCCTAACAGCTACCCCTGCCATCTGAGCTTTCTCTGCTGTCTGGCACCAGCTTGCTTTTTAAGACTATATTCAGCCTCCCATATGCCAGATCCTGTGCTGGGGGTTCTTTGCAGATGTTACTCATTTCGTCCTTATAATAGCTTAGCCAAGAGGCCCTTGTGTCCCAGCGAGCTGAAATGTAGCAGCTGGGTATTGAGCCTCAGCTCCTGTGCTAGGCCCAGGGGATTGGGTCGGTCCTCTTGGAGGTCACAGGCCAGCCATGAGGGAGATAATGCAGTACGGCCGAGCTCGTGGGGGGGATGGGAGAAAAAAGTGCTGGAGCACTTGGGTGTGGCTGAAGCAGGTGGGTGTCTAGAAAGCTGCTAGGGATTGGGGCGGGAAGGGTTAATGTGCAAGCGAGGATGATTCCCAGCGGGAAGAATGGGGAGGCCAGAGAGCACCCGGAGCAGTTGTGAGGAAATGGAATTGGATCGATGTGCCTGGGACACTGAGTGCTGGGGGTTGGGGCTGGAGAGCTGAGGCCGAAGCCAGCCAGGGCCGCCTGAGGAGTCCAGTAGGGCATTTGGACTTAATCCTGAGGGCCACATGGAGCCACTGAAGGATCTTTGAAGATAATAGGTAAAATATTCCTATGGCAAAAATACGGAATCGTATGCATAACAAAAGGGTGACGAGGTCTGCCACCTCCAGCTCTCCTTTCTCCCCAGAGGTGACCACTGCTACTCATTGTTTTTATGTCCGTCTAGATAAACTCTTCACGCCTACACACTCGGATTTCCATATTTTAAAGCTCATTCTGTGTATGTAGTGCTCTGCTCTCATGAGTGACCACAGTTCCAAGTGCTTTTTGTGTACATTCCTTCCCTCCTTTCACCCCCACCCAGGCTAGCCTTCTATTGTGCCCATCTTCCAGAGAGGAAATCGAGGCCCTCGGAGGAGGCCCTAAAGCCTGCGCCCTTAACATTGGCTGTCCCCGGGGCCGTCTGCTCAGTGGTGGCACAGAATTCCATTACGTATTTGTTAACCAGGTCCTGCCCCATGAACAATGCTGGTAAACCGCCCGCACCTACTCTTGGAGGGCACTTGTGGGAGACACGTGGAAGGTTTGCAGCAGGGCAGTGGCTGGGGCAGAGGTACTCCAGGAAGCTAGTGAGTCAGAGCCCAGCTGCCCCTCCAAGTTCTTCGGGTGCCCGCTGCCCTTCACCCTTTGTGAACCGTGCTCTCCCCTGCAGCCAGGTGGGTCCTCAGAGAAGCCCCACGGCCCTGCCTCCTTGGCTCTTCAGCCCTAACCATTTCTAGTGACACCAGGAGTCTCTAACTTACATAAACCCAGCAAGCCCGTGATCTAAACAAGGGGGAGACGTGGCAGGAGAGGGTGTCTTCCACTCAAGTAGAATACATGCCTGAGGCTGGAGGACCCTCCCCTGGTAGGGCCCGGAGGTTGGCCTCTGCCTTGGGTCCCGAGCCCGGTGGCTGCACTGAGCCCAGGAGCAAGCAGAGTGACGTGGAGGAGGACAGTGGGGGAGAGTCTAGGCTGAATTTGATCTAAGGAACGTAGAGGAGCCATATGTTACCATGGTCTGCGTGTTTGTGTGCTCGCAAAATTCCTATGTTGAAACCTAATGTCCGATGTGACAGCATTTGGAGACGGGGGCCTTTAGGTCGTGAGCCTTCCAGAATGGGATTAGTGCCTTCACGAAAGAGGCTCCAGAGAGCTCTCTTGCCCCTTCCACCAGGTGGGGACGAAGCCAAAGGTGCGGGCTCTGAACTGGGAAGAGGGTTGTCACCAGCACTCGGCCATGCAGGTACCTCGATCTTGGACTCCAGAACCATGGCATGACTGTTTTTATAAGGCCCCCCCGCCTGTGGTGTCTTGCTATAGCAGCCCGAAAGGACTAAGACAAAGGTGCAGCGAGAGCTTTGGGGATCTCATCTGTACACTTTCAGACTAAATGAATCACCACCATGCAAGACATTCCATTGGCTCGCTCCGCTCAGCGGGCCCTGGCTCCGGGAGGGCACAGCCGGGGCCCCGTGAATCCGCCCTTCCCTCAGGTGAACCTAACTGCTGGAACAAACCTCAAGGCCTACAGCGGCTCAACCACGATAGAAGTTTATTTCTAACTCATGTGAAGTCCTAATCAGGAGCTCCTGACTGGGCAGTAGCTCTCCTGAGGCACAGATTCAGGGACTCAGGCTCTTCACATCTCACGGTACCACCGTTTTCCACACAGGAACCCCCAGAGTGCCCTGCTCGCTCGCAAGGTGCAAGCAGAGGAGGAGGGGCCTGGAGGATTGCCCGAGGTTGGTGTTCATGGGAAGGCGGGCAATTGACACCTTACTGCTTCCTTCCACCTTCCATTGGCTGCAACTCAGTCAATGTGGCCACTTGTTCCCGCAAGGGAGGTTGGGAAAGAGAGATTAGCTGTGGGCTGAGGAGGAAGAGGAAACAGGTTGAGTAAAGAGCATGTTACCTGCGGAGTAGGATTTCACTGATTTTCTTATGCGAGGGGTTCTTAAAGCAAGTACCTTGTCTGGCATTCAACCAAAGCAAAGCCAATTACTCCCTGCTAGAGAAAAACAGGCTGTGTTGAACTTCACCAGGGATCACGCTGTTCTGTATTTCCCAGGCAACTTAAGGGAACTTCAAGGGTAAATTTAGTACCAAGGGACTGGCTTAGCACCTGGCTCCAGGGTGAGCTGGAGCCCCCACTCGGTGGCCAGCAAACAGGCCCACTTCCTGTCACTGAGGTATAGCTGGTCTCCCTCACCCTAGTCAGTCCCGGGCCTGTCCTCATGTGTACGCTTTATCATTTTATTTTTTTAAAGATTTTATTTGACAGAGCACACAAGCAGGGGGAAGGGGAGGGGGAGGGGGAGGAGAAGCAGGCTCCCCACGGAGCAGGGAGCCCAGTGCAGGGGCTCGATCCCAGGACCCTGGGATCATGACCGGAGCCGCAGGTAGACGCTTAACCCACTGAGCCACCCAGGCGCCCCACATGCGTACAATTTAAAGAACAGCTTCCCAGGGGCATCTGGGCGGCCCACGGGTTAAGCGTCTGCCTTTGGCTCGGGTCACGATTTCAGGGTCCTGGGATGGAGCGCTGCGTAGCAGTGAGCTTGCTTCTCCCTCTCCCTCTTCCCTTCCCTCCCACCCCCTGCTCATGCTCTCTCTCTCTCTCTCTCTCTCAAAATCTTTAAAAAAAAATAAAGAACAGCTTCCCCTATGATCTTACTAGATTCCATAACCTCGTGGGGGTACATGCAGTGGTCAGGGTGGGTTAGATTAGGCTCTGATCCCAGTGCGAATTCTCGCTCCTGCTATGGGTCTATGGCTGTGGCTCTGCTTCCTGCCCTTTCTCTCTCTGGGACCCGCCTCTCTTTGGAACCTTGCCCATCACCATGGAAAAGGGAAAAGAGGACAGTGATGTCCCTTCCCCTTGCATTTCATTGGCTAGAACAAGTCATACGGCCACACCGGATGGCCACTAGAGAGCCATGGGGAGCCATCAGATCCTCAGCCGGAAAGGAGTCCAGAGCTCAGGGGTGAGGTCAGGGACGGAGAACTGCACTGGAAGTCCGTGGGCTAGAGATGCCCTAAAGCCGTGGGACTGGCCAAGATGGTCACTGAGAAAGGACAGGGTTCCGGGCGACCTGTGATCTAGACGGAGCAGAGGAAGTGGAGGGGGCCAGGGAAATGGAGGCGTGGGCCCTGAGGTGGGGAGGCGGTGGCGTGGGTGCCTAGGTGGCGGGACAGGCCGCACGAGGAGCACCGAGCGCGGGCTCTAGGGCCAGGGACGTCCCTGGTGACGCCGATAAGAGCAGTTTCCGGGCAGGAAGGGTGGAGACAGCAGCTCACTGGAGAGGCTTGAGAAGATAAGGAGAGGTGAGGAACGGAAACGAAGAAACGTGGCTGCGAAGGAAAGAGAGGAGAGGGCGGAAGCCAGGGGGAAGGCAGGGCTGAGGGAGAGCCTGCGTGCTGGTTCCGTGGCCGGAGCGTAGAGGCTGCTCACCTGCCCGGGCCAGGGAGCCGCAGACGGAGAAGGTGATGGTGCAGCCCAGAAAGGAGATCCACGGAGGAGTGGACTTGGGGGAGATTGCCAGCATTTAGAGCCCAAGGGGAGGAGTGGGGCCCAGGGGGAACGGGAGGCAGGACAGAGCCTGGGTGCTGGTAGTTTGCTAGATGCGCTGCTGGGAGGCAGGGGGGCCTCCTGCCCAGTGTGCTTCTATTTTCTCTCAGAGGTGAGAGCAAGTGGGTGGGGACGTGGGAGGCTGGGAGGAGGGGTGTGTGTGGTTGTTCTGAGCAAGAGCTCACACGAGCAGGAGAAGCAGAGTCAGAGGCCCTAGGTCTCCCTTGAGATTTGTTGCCATGAGTTTAAAATGGAATCAAGTCAGCATGTGGGTTGTACCTCCCCCAGCAACACGCAACTGGTCCAGGGCGGACCGAGAGGGTGGTAGTTGGTTTAAGAAGGGAGGGGGCTAGGCACCCCGGGGGAAGGGGAGAGGTGGAGTAAAGGAGGGAGGTTTTTGGTCAATCACCTGGAACACAGGGCAAGACTGAACTGAAAGGGTGGGTGTCAATGTTGAGAGGGTGGTTGGGGTCAAGGTCACTGAAGCCTTGAGTTGGACGAATGGCTTGGGAAGGGGAGGCAGCAGGGGCCCACGTTTCAGGGTTGGGATGGTTATTAGCTGGGACAAGGTCAAAGGACAGCCTCGGGAAGGAACATACCCACCCAGGACAACCTTGCTTGCTGTCCGCTATCCCCAGAGGCCCTTGGCCATGAGCATCTGGTACCTCACACGTTAATTACCTCTCAAGGGAAGATGCAGGACAGTCAGTCGGAAGCAGGGCAGGCCAGGCTGACTCCCTTGCCTGTTTGTTCAACCCAGAGCCAGCCCCACCAAGTGCTGCGGGCTCCGCAGTCAGCCCCCGGCCTCCAGCGCGGCCCTGAGTGGAGCCGGGCCTCTGGCACATGAAGGCAGCGCACCTCAGAGCGAGACGGGGCTGGTGGGGTCAGCCTCAGTGCAGGAAGAGGAGTAAGACCCCAACACAAAGCATCCATGCAGCCTCCTCTTGTGGAGGAGCATTTGATCCTGCCCGGATCGTTCCCCAAGAAAGGGCTCTGCCCTGGTTGTGGGGACGCCTCCCTCCATCTGCTCCTGCAGAGCCCATGCCGCAAGCCCAGGGACGCGCTCCAGTTCCCGCAGAAGGACAAGTGCCCAGGCCTGCCGGGTGTGCAGTGTGACCAGCAGGTGGCGCCACAGGCGGCCTCCCAAGTGCTGGGGGGCAGGGGGCGGGGTGGGGGGATGCTGCAGGGGTGGGTGGGGAGGGCAGGCTGCGAGAAGAGATGCTGCCAGTGCAGGAGCTATGGGTGGGGGGGGGTGGCTAGGCAGGCGCCATCCTCTCCCCTGGGGTGTCCTCTCCCGGCCTGGGGTCCGAGAGGACTGACTGCCCAAAGACAGTCTGGCCATTAAGACTGTGGGGTCACATTCCTAGCAGTGTGACTTCAGGGAGTTCTTCTCCCTGCCTCAGTTTCCTCCCCAGCCAACACAGGACAGTCTCTAGTAGCTACCTTGAGATTTCAGGGGTATCCCTTAAGCTCCCCTGTGACGCAGACCCCCAGCTGCTTCAATGCCCAGAAGTGTTTTATTCATGAGTGCAGCAGGGAGCTAAGGCACGACATGGTTGCCCCCAGCGGCCTGAGGGGCGGGAGCGGACTGGAGAAGCAAGCCCTCCCGGGCGCCCGGCACGCCGGTCGCCTTCTGGGCCGGGTGCAGGGCCTCAGACCCAAGCCCCAGCAGACCTAAGGCTGTGTTGAAGAGGTTGATGGGAGTGGAGCCATCGGTGATGAGGGTTGATTTCAGGCCCAGGCTCTGGAGCAGTTTTACCTGGAAGAGCAAGAGGGGAGCGAGAAGGTAGAGTCAGGCCCTTGTCCCTTTCTCTTGGCTCCTTGGCCACCATTGGCATGGATCTGCCACTGCAGCTGCCACACAAGCTGTCCTCACCGGGGGAGTCAGGGGTAACAAGCAAGGAGCACGAGGGGAGCCTGAAGGTTTCGCCAGGGCGCAGGATGCCTGGAGGCCCGGCTGCCCCTCTCCTGCCTCCATCCGCTCACCGTGCCACCCTGGGTTGCGGCCATCCAGTCCTCTCTGTGCCTAAGCACACTGAGTTTTGTTCTCTGTGTCTGTGCCCTTGGACCTCTTCCCAGGAAGCTCCTGTCAACTCTCCATCGACCTCAAGTAGCCCCTCCTCAGAGTGGCTCTCCCTAAGCCACCCGGCATCACCCTAAGCCACTTCCTTCAAAGCACCAGCCAGACTGGTGGCCCAGCTGCTTACCATCCGTCCCGGGGGCTGCAGCTCCCTGCTGAAGCTAGTGCAGTGCCCGACAGAGGACACCGGACACGGGATACAGGACAGTCCCATCTCCACCTCCCCTCACCCCTCTGCCCCCAGCATCACTCCAGGTACATCTGCCACCCCCCAGTGCTGCCTTCTTGGTTCCAAGTATGGTCCCAAGACACACACACTCCCCTGCTCCCTCCCCACTCTCACCTGCATCTCTGGGCCTGCCACTGCGAGGTCCCTGATGGTGCTGGGGCCCAGGGCTTCCGTCATCTGCTTGAACTTCTTCACCTCCACCTCAGCCAGCTGCTGGGCCTTGCTCACCTCCAGCTCCAGCTGGGCCCGGGCGTACACCAGTTCTAGCTCTCGCACTTTCTGTACCCGCTGGAGCTCAGCCTCCTGGAAGAGGGGAAAACGCAGCATTCTTTCCCCTGTGGGGCCCCTGGGAACTGCCCAGCAAGTCCCCCTAGCCAGCAGGCCTGAGGGAACAGAGGCCCAAGGCATGGAATTGCAAACTGCTAGTCAATTGGCTGTGGATCCTGGCGGGGCTACCTTTTAAGCTAGTGACCTGTGGGAGTCCTTAATCTAAGCCTTGGTTTCCTCAGCTGTCATCCGGAGATAATACTTACCCCCTTAGTGGGATTTCAAGCATTAAATAAGACCATGTGCATAAGACAATACAATAGTTAGCACAAAGCCGCCAACATTTGCACGAATATCGCACACAGGATGGAGGTCATAATACCTGCCTGGGGGGTGGTAGAAGATTATTAAGTGAATAGATACAGGGCAAAGGAATTTATAAACCACAAAGTATTTAAGTAGGGCTTTACAGGGGCGCCTGAGTGGCTCAGTTGGTTAAGCATCTGACTCTTGATTTCAGCTCAGGTCATGATATCTGGGTTGTGAGATCAAGCCCTGTGTGGGGCTCCCAGCTGGGCAGGGAGCCTGCTTAAGAGTCTCTCTCTCTGTGAAGGGAACCAGAGGGTATTATGCTAAGTGAAATAAGTCCATCAGAGAAAGACAATTATCACACGATCTCACTGATATGTGGGATTTAAGAAACAAGGCAGAGGATCACAGGGGAAGAGAGGAAAAGATGAAAACAAAACCAGAGAGGGAGACAAACCAAACGACACTCTTAATCTTGGGAAACAAACTGAGGGTTGCTGGAGGGGATGAGGGTGGAGGGATGGGGTAAGTGGGCGATGGACATTGAGGAGGGCATGTGTTGTGGTGAGCTCTGGGTATTACATAAGACTGAGGAATCACAGACCTATACCCCTGAAATAATATGTCAATTGAATTTAAATAAAATTTTTTTTTAAATGGGGAAAAAAAAAGATTCATTCTCTCCCTCTGCCCTTCTCCCCCTCCCCCCACTCCCACTTTCTCCAAATAAATAATTAGGGCTTTACATTCAGATACCTGGCATCCTACACATCCTCAGGGACTGCAGTGATGGGGCCTCTTCCAGACCCCAAGACCCCGCCCTCCCACAGGCATCACCCCTTGGCTCACCGTCTCAATGGCCAAGGCCTCTGCTTTCAGCTTGGCCTGCAGCACGGAGCCTTCTCCCTCGATGCGCAGGGCCTCTGCACGGGACTCGGCCTCCGCCTTGGCAGTCCCCGTGCTCTCCACGGCGGTGCTGGGGGGTGGTGGGGGAGAGTCAGGGGACACCCAGGAGAAAGACTTTCTCCCTCTGCCCCCGCCCCCCAACGCCCCGGCTAATGCCGCAGCAGGCGTCACGCGCGCCCCACTCCCTCCACCCGCAGTTTTTCCGAGGCCTGGCGCTCTTTTCCTCTGGTTCTCAACCCACCTCAGAGCCTCCAGCTCCAAGAGTTCCCTGCGAGCTTTTTCAGCTTCGGACTGGTCCAAGATCTTCTGCCTCTCAAGCCGGCCGCGGGCTTCTTGCTCAAGTCTCTGAGCCTCGTGCCTGGATGGAACAGGTGACAGGGGACAGGAAGATGCTGGTGTGGGGTCAGATCTCCAACAGGAACTCCAAGGGCAGGGCCCACCCATCTGCTGGGCGCCCGCGGGTGGCACTCAACCCACAAAGGGAAGAAGAAGGGTGTGCGCGCTGCAAGCCTGGTGCGACTCTCGGCGTGGGCGGGGACGCGGCCATGACCAAGGCCCCTGCTTTCACACAACTGGCCTTCCAGTCAGGAGAAACAAATGAACACGGTTGATTTCTGACAGTGACAAGCTCCCCGAGAATGGGTGAAGGGACAGCATGGCTGAGCACAGGGCTCGGTTTCAGTTGGGGCAGGAAGGGGCTCTGCAAGGAGCTTCGGGCTGAGGCCAGAGGAGGAGAATGCTCTAGGGGAAGAGCATTCTGGGCAGAGGGAAGAGCCAGCGCAGACGGCCCTACGGTGGGAACCCAGCCGTGCCAACGAGGGGCAGAAAGGAGCTGGTGGGATCGGAGCACGTGAGCCTGGCGAGAGGCTGGAAGGTGAGGTGGGGGAGGCAGGGCTGGACCCCTGGGTGCCTGGAAGGCCACAGAAGCGAGCTTGGGTTCTAGCACAAGCAAGGCGAGACGCCACGAGTGCAGGATGGCACGTGGTCGTCCTTTAAGGGGACCACACTATCTGCTAAGGGAGAGAGCAGGCCGACCGTGGGGGGATGCCAGGTCACCCAGGTCCCAGCAGTGGGCTGAGGGAGGGACCATGGAGAGGTCTGGCCCACGGTGGGCATCATGGGCAGCGCCGCCCCCTCCCCAGGCCTCACTTACTTAGCAGCTGCCTCCTGGGAGTTGGTGGTGATCTCGATGGCCAGCTGGACGCTGCGCTGGAGGGCATCCCGGGTCCTCTGGTCCACGGGCTCCACCGACTGCACGTCCACGCTGCTGACCACCAGTCCATTTTGGGGGAAGATGGCCCGGTCCCGGGGCTGGGGCAGGGCCCTGCTGTCTGGCCCCTTGGTTTCCAGGGTCTCAAAACCAAAGACAGCCATGCGAATGATGCGGGCAGAGTTCTTGTGGAAGTCATCGAAGGTGACGGAGGCCACGGCCCCCCGCACCCGGGACGCGATGGCCTTGCAGGCGTCACCCACGAAGTCCGGCACCGAGAAGAGCTTGGCTGTCTCTTTAGGGTCCTTCCGGTCACTCACATCGAAGTGCCTGTGAGCAGCGAGGCCCAGAACAGGGAAGCCATTTTCCTCCAGGACACAGCAACTCTGTCGTCTCGGAAAAGGACTCGGACGCCCACCCTCCGTGACCGGCCAGGGTCTCTCTCAACAGAGAGTAAGAATTACTCCCCACCAAGCACCCAGGTGAGGTCCCATTTAATTCTCTCAGCCACCCTAGGAGGTGGGGATGAGCGTTATCCCCTCTGACAGATGAGGAAAGAGAGGCCCAGGGAGGTGAAGGGACAGACCCAAAGTCACGTGATATGTGGCAGGCAGCGTGGCTCCGTGGCCTATGCCCTTAGCTGTCGTGCGCCCAAAATGTCCATGCCCATCTTCCTCTGTCATAGTCCTGGTCACTCGGCCAAGAGGTGGCTAAGGTGGAGCCTAGCTTCCATTCCAGCTCTAACTACGTGCAGGGCACTGCTATAACCTCACCGTGCCCTTTCAACAGCCCTGGGAGCCCTGGGAGGTGGACGGTTGCCGTTCTCATTTTACATATTGGGAAACTGAGGAAAGCACCGAGTCGCTTGCCCAGGTCCACAGCTAGCAAACGGCAGGGCCGGGACCCAGGCAGCCAGCCCCGGAGTGCGTGCCGGTGACACGTGCCCACATGTGCCCACTCCGATGGGGCGGGTCTGGCCGACATTTGTAGAACCTTGCCCTTACCTGGTTGGCTGGACACATGCTGAGTTTAGCTGGGGGGTTTCCTCCAACCATGTCCACCAAATCCTGCTCCCAGCAGGGGTGTCTGCACCTTCCTGTCACCCCCCCCCCTTTGGGCATCAGACTGGCTTTCCTCCTTGGCTATGGCAGAGTCAGGCATCCTGCCCCCACGACGAGCCCAGCAGGTAGCAGGCAGCGTCTGTCCTTGCGGTCCCTCCCCACCCCTCACCAGTTGTAGGCGAGCTGCAGCTGCAGCCTGGCATGGTCCGCGGTTTCGATGGTGATGACGTCTGTGAAGAAGTCAGGCCCCAGCAGTAGGCAGAGCGCACGGCGAGCGTGGGGACGCTTGGGCCTCCCGGCCGAGAGGGACAACACGGTGAACTGCTCTTCAGGACCCAGGGACACCAGCTCGGGCCCAAAGACCACACTGCAGAGGGAGCCGGGAGTCAGACACATGCAGAGCCCCTCATCTCCCCCAGTCACCTGTCCCACCTCAACTCCCACTGGCCCCTCCCAGCTCGGCCCCCCCGCAGAGCCGGCCTCTCATGCCCCCACCTCGCCCCGCCCCCGACAGTCACCTGTCCCACCTCGGGACCCCACCCCTGACAGTCACCTGTCTCACCTCGGGACCCCACCCCTGACAGTCACCTGTCCCACCTTGGGACCCCACCCCCGACAGTCACCTGTCCCACCTTGGGACCCCCCCCCAACAGTCACCTGTCCCACCTTGGGACCCCCCCCAACAGTCACCTGTCCCACCTCACCCCACCCCCGACAGTCACCTGTCTCACCTCGGGACCCCTCTCCCCGACAGTCACCTGTCCCACCTCGGGACCCCACCCCCGACAGTCACCTGTCCCACCTCGGGACCCCACCCCCGACAGTCACCTGTCCCACCTCGGGATCCCCACCCCCCCACACACAGGCCACTCACCGAGCTTCCTTTTCCCGGTAGTCATATACCTGCACGGCTGCGTTGTGAGGGACCCGGTAGCTGACCACACGGGTCTTGTTCCGGACAGTGGCGGGCTGAGGGGTCTTGGATGTCTCCTTCTCGCCCCTGTCTGCCAGAGGGTCCTGCCCCTTGTTCAGCAGCTCCTCCACCCCTGGAGGCAGCTCTTTCTCCCACAGGACTTCGTCCTGGGTCAGCATGTAGGTGCTTCCAATCACAGCACGTACCTTGAGAGAGGATGACGGGGGACGTCACCTGGGAAGGTAAAAGGGAGAAGGACCCAGCCAGCTGTCCCGAAACAGGGGCTGCTATCCCGGGGGCGGGGCGGGGGACAGTAGAGCGCGGTGGCTGGGCTCGGTCTCTGGAACGGGGCTGCACTCGGATGCACCGTCTGCTGGCTCAGTCAGCTGGGGCAAACAGCCGTGCGTTAGGTCCATGCCCGCAGAATGGACCCACTGCTGGCTACCTCCCAGGGTTGAGGAATGAAGGACCTCTCCCGTGTCTAGTGCGGAGAACCTGGCATGCGGTTAATTAAGGGTTCAATCTTATTTCTTCTGGAATTTTCCTTCTTGGGGCAACTTGGAGGGCATCCTAGGGACAGAGGCAGTCAATCCTAGGAAATAGGTAATGAGCACTAACATTTCCTAGGATTCCAAGCCCTTCTTCTAGGTTGGATTCTTAGAGAAAGAGGTCAGAGATGTGGTCCTAGGTCAAACCAAGGTCAAGGCTTCAGATGAGGGGGCAAAGAGGAAGGATTCCACCAGGATAAGCGCATGGGAGAGGAGGTTGATTCTTGCTGTTCCTAGGCCACTCCCCAGTCAGACCTTCATCCTTGGACCAGAGGCCCCCATCCTAAAACCTGGCTCATCTTTGCCCTTGGGGGTTTCTCAATTTTAAAGTGAGCTATTTAATGGGGTGCCCGGGTGGCTCAGTCGGTTAAGTATCTGACTCTTGACTTTGGCTCAGGTCATGATCTCAGGTCGTGAGATCGAGCCCTGTGACGGGCTCTGCACTGGGCGGGGAGCCTGCTTAAGATTCTCTCTCCCCCTCTCCCACCGCCACTCCCTGTTCTAAAAAGAAAGAAAAAAGGCAGGCAAATACTCCACAGAATGCCCTCATACCAGCAGCCGGCCAGCTCAGATGCCACCATCAAGGCTGTTGAAGTCCCCTCCCTTGTCTCCACCGTGTACCTCTCCCCGTCGGCCCCACGCAAGCCACCACACGGCCACACTGCGGTGATGGTGCCCATCCCTCAGCCATTACCCTTCCAGTCTTGACATCCTGCACGTAGATGCCCTCATTCTCATCCAGAGGGATGGCCTGACGCTCCTCCACCACCTCCACCTTGGCAGAGGGCACGTACTCCAGGGGTCCGCGGATGAGCCAGCGGTCCCCAGCCTGGTGGGAGACCTTCTCTCCTTCTTCTCCCTCCTCCAGGGGCTGCAGGGCCCTCAGCAGCAGTCCCTGATGCTCTGACAGCACATATACATCCTGGATGCCTCGTTCCAGTCGCTCTCCAGGCTGGAGGAAAAAGGACTTCTCGCCCTGGTGGAGAGACATGGGGTTAGGAGCAGTCGCCACCCAGGGTTGTGCCCCTGACAGCACCTCCTGCGGCCACAGGCTTGTGTTGAGAACAGGAGCCCACATTCCCACTGTAATGCAGTGAGGCGTCATCTGGACCAGGAGGCTCTTTACAAATGCCTACAGACCTCATCTGGTCGAGCCTGCCCTTGATGAAGTCTGTACACGGTCATGACCGGGACCCTCACAGGCTCAATGATTAAGAAAGAACCTTCTGTTGCTCTGTTTCTCCCAGGCCTTGTTTTCTTAGAATGGTGTAGGCTGGGCATTGGCAGACTCCATCGTTGGGCGAAATCTGTCTTTTTTAACTAGATGTTTGAGATATAATCTATATGCCATAAAATTTGTTCATTTAAAGTATACAATTCAAATCACTGACCTCTACTTCTGAAACCAGTAATACATTATATGTTAATTGAATTTAAATTTTAAAAAAGGGAAAAAAATAAAGTATACGATTCAGGAGTATCTGGGTGGCTCAGTTGGTTAAGTGTCTGCCCTTGGCTCTGGAATCAAGTCCCGCATCGGGCTCCCTGCTCAGCGGGGAGCCTGCTTCTCCCTCTGCCTGCTGCTCCCCCTGCTTGTGCTCTCTCTGACAAATAAATAAAATCTTTAAAAAAAAAATAAAGTATACAATTCAGAGGTGCCAGGCTGGTTCAGTCAGTGGAGCCTGCAACTCTCGATCTGGGGTTTGAGTTTGAGCCCCATGTTGGGTGTAGAGGTTACTTAAAAATAAGTAAATAAATAAGGTACACAGGTCAGCTGTTTTGGGCTATCCACAGAGTTGTCCAGTCATCACTATGATCCAACCTCAGGGCATTTTCATTACCTGAAAAACCCCGTACTCAACAGCAGCTAATGTCCGTCCATCCCCACTCACTGTAACCACTCATCTATATTCTATTGCTATGGATTTACCCATCTGGGACACTTTATATAAATGGAATCGTGCAATATGTGGTCCTTTATGCGTGGCCTCTTTTGCTTAGCACAGTATTTGTTGATCCATGCTGCAGCAGGTGTTAGTACACCATCATTCGTACACGAGCATCAGTACGCGTTCGTTTCTTTTTACAGCTGAAGGATACTCCACTGTGTGGACAGGCCACGATTTGTTAGCCATTCATCCGCTGACAGATGGAAGCAAAATGTTACAGGAACACAGAGGCACTCGTTCATGTACAAGCTGTCTAGGCTTTCACTCCAACGGCACAGTTGAGTGGTCTTAAGAGAAACAACCGCTCACGAAGCCTGAAATATCTACGGTCCTCCACAGCAAAGTGTGCCAATCCCCGGCAGGCCAGTGCGTCATTAAGAGAAGGGTGGGACAGGGGTGGCAAGAAGGGTAAACCACGAGGTTTGTTTTGCGCAGGAGGAGGACAAAGGTTCCCGGACGGCAGGCATGGACAGGGCCCGGGAAGTGCTCCCAGAAGAGACCGTGTGTAAACTGAGGTTGGGGGCCTCAGGGAGATCAACAGGACAGTGTCACAAAAGATAGAACTAGGTGTGCAAAGGCCCAGGGGGAACCAGAACAAGCTTGAGGCTTCTAAATGTGTACCTGGGGTGCAAGGAGGAAAGGGAGTGGTCCCAGGGCCTCACGCCCCTCCAGGGCATTCAGCCTCCCCCGAGAGCTGGAGGTATTTACCTTGACCACACGCTTTTGCCCCAGCTGGTTCTTGCCATCCAGTCCGACCGGGTCGAGAATCACACAGTAGTTGTGGGGGCCCAAGGTGGTGATGGGCACAATCCCTAGCACCTCCTCACAGACATCTGGCACATGGGCCTCCGTGTCCTGCACGGTCACCAGCCACTCCTCCCCGGTGCGGCGGCTCACGCCTCTCAAGTCTCGAAAGTTCTGCAGAGCCCGGAGGTGCAGGGCCGTCTGTGGGACGAGACGTCGGGGCATTTGAGGAAACTGACCTCCAATTTCCTCAGGGGAGCTGGGGGCCCCACTGGCCACTGAGTGCTCCCGGGCCGGGATGTCAGTCTCTACCAGCCCAGGAGGACTTCGGAATCCTCTCAGAGGACCCAGGAGACTCCTCAGGGAGCTGACCTCCACAATTCTCTCTTAGTGGCCCCAGAAATATTGCTTCTCCTCTACTTTCACGGTCTCTGCCACTAGGAGTGAGGCCTCCTCCAGGGTCCCTCCACCCCCAAGAGCACAAACCTTTTCTGTGAGGATCACAGCATCCACCAAATCCAGAACCTCCTCGAACACTGCTGGGAGATATGCGCCCACGGCACGGACCAGCCATTCTTCTCCTGGGCCAAGCGTGGAGAGGGGAGGGTCAAAGGGCACCCAGCCTGCTCCCAGCTGCCCCTTCCCGCAGCCTAGACAGCAGGGCACCCGCCGGGCTCTGCAGGTGAGATTCCACACCCTCAGGCTCCAGGGCCTGACAGGAGTGCATATATTAATTTTTTTCTGAGGCCAGAGGAAAACCAACCCCTACCCAGGACAATAAGGAAAGCCGTCCAAGGGCCCAAGCTGCTGCCACGCCTTCTCTGAGCTCCAAAGACCAACTTTTTCCCTTCCCCTGAAACTGGTAGAACTGCCTTTAAGAGAGTTGGAGATACGGTCTACTTTCTTGGAGAAGCAAGAGTGCCTGGCCACAGCCTGGCCCTTGCTCGCCTTAACCCCCGGCAAGTAACCTCACTTCCGTGCCTCAGTGAGGTCATATGGAGAACGGGAATCATAGGGCCCCAAGGTTGTTCGGGGACTCGGTGAGTTCCCATTTGTAAAGCATTTTTGAACCACATCTGGAACAGACTGAACATCACACGGGCCAAATACGATTGCTAGTTGTATACGAACACCTGCGTTGTTGATCTAGAAACAGACATGACTGCTGCCCACCCCCCACCCCCGGTAAAGCCATGTCAGCATGTTCATGATCACAGGGTCAGGGGACAGCTGGCATGAAGCTGGGGTGGGGAAAGCAGCCGTGGGCGGCCCCCAAAAGCTCCTAAGAGATACCAGGGAAGCACTTCCTCTCAGGCTGCAAATGGCCATCCCCACCCCTGCAGGCAAGGCACGGCCCGCCCACCCCCATCAGCACCCCTCATCGACCCCACCTGTCACCCTCTCCTTGCCCTCCCGGTCCCAGCACTCCTTGCGGGCCCTCAGCCGCAGGGCCTGGTTCTGCTTGATGACTGTAGCCTGAATGATCTCCAAGACCTCCACCTCCTTCCGGGGGATATAGGTGCCTGGGAAGGGAAGGGGAGGCAAAGGTTGAAGGCCGGCAGGTATCAAAGCTGTAACGGAAAGGCAGGGAGTCTTGGACCTGGACTCCGGCCAATGCAAGGAACTTACCAGGCCCTTCAAATAGCCACTCATCTCCTGCCACCACCTTGTCTCCGTTCTTATCCTCATAATCCAGCAACGCCTTAAGATGGAGGGCAGTGTTGGGCAGAACCACCTGCAGGGGGGTGATGTCCTAACAGGGGGAGAAGGGAGGCCATGGGACATTCAGTACTGTGACCCCAGGAGTCAAACCCGATACCTTGGAGGTCAGAGGCTACAGCATCAACCTTCCCATGTCCCCAGATAAGCCCCCAAGTGGAAGGTAGGGGTAGTCCCAAAGCCATCTGGTCTGAAGAACGAAGATCGTTGAGAAAGCAAGTGGACGCACTGCCAATGAGCCAAGGACACACATTGCTTTGGAGAAAGTGCTTAGAAGTGGTTCTGAACTACAAACCTGGGCGGGGAAACAGGGAAACGCCTCAAGGCCTCGTGTGCACAAGGGCCCTCTAAAAAGTGTAAGAAGTGGGAAATTTGAACAGCTCTAACAGGCACGCTCTGGGCACGTGGTGTGGTTGTCAGGATTGCTTCATGGTCACAAGACAGCCGTTGGACTGCAGCCATCACGTCTCCCTTCATCGGGAAGGGGCACCTGGCAACAAGTACCCAAACCTTTTAGAAGTCTGTAGAAATGTTTCTATGAGTAGGACTTCACTTGGTCTTTGGTCTGAGGGAGGCAGGAGAGCAAGCAAAGAGAGCCTCACAGAGGCTACGAGACGTGCCCGAGGTCCCACAACAAGTAAGAATGGGATCAGCACCGGAACCCCAGTCTTGGTGAAGGCTGCCTGCCGCTCTTAGTGGCCTGGGGTGGAGAAGGTCAGGGAACCCCACTCTCCCCACCGACCACACACGGGGTTGGAGGCTCACTGGGCAGGCAAGCCCTTCCTTGTGCGCCTTCAATGTACACAGCACCCAGTCGGCTGTGGCAGGGGCAGGCTTGCCCCAGCTTCGTTGATTGCAAGTTCCAGCAGGTGACAAGACAGATACAGGCCCTTCTCTGCAAGCAGACTGTGGACAGTGTCGGGGGTGCGGGGGGTGGGAGGCACAGAGGCTGCAAAAGCTCAAAGGAAGTTAGGAAAGTCCCCCTGGAAGTAGCATTTGAGCTGGGGCTCAGAAGAAGAGCTGGCTTCTGATACAGAGGTGTGGGAGGAGGAGGAAATGGTACGTGTTCTGGAAGGAACATGTAGGCCAGCGGGTTTGTCACCTCCCACATCTACTCTAGCGTCACTTGCTACCTGTTCCATCAAAAGCAAGCTCTGCCTTTTTCTATCATGGCCATTTCCCTCGTCTGAGCTGCCAATATCTCTCACCTGAATGATGGAAAGATCTAACTAGTCTCCACCTGCCACTTTTGTCTCCTTCCAGTTCATCCCCTGCATCACTGCAGGCTTCCAGCTCGGGTGACTAGGCACCCAGCAGTATCATGTACAATTGGGAATGTGGGAGAACAGTTCCAGGGGGAAGGGAAAGTAGCAGGTTTGCACATCCAGGAGGAGGCGGCTGTGCGATGCCCAGGAGAGGGCTTTCTACAGGCAGCTAGGGGCTCTAGGGACTTGGCAGCTCCCAGTGACGGTACTGAGCTAGGTGGCTCCAACCTCGACAGAGTGCTTAAGGCCACGAGAGCACGGAAGGGCATGCAGGAGGTTCAGGACAGAATCTGAAGGCAGAAGGGAGAGGGGAAGAGGGTGAGACATCTAAGAAGATGGAAAGAGACATCCACAGAGTGAAATAGGAAGACAAGTTTTAGCAGGGGCGCGGTGGGAGAAAAAAGACAAGTTTTAATAAGAGGGCGGGTCGACAGTAGTTGTGGCTAAGAAGGCCCACGAGACACAGAATGTCCACAGGGGCTGCAGTTAGGAGGCCTTGGGGCTTTGCCAAAGCGAGCTCAGTGGAGGTGGGGGTGGGGGCCAGATGCAAGGGCTTATGAGGAAATGGGGTAGAGGACATCAAGTAAAGGGTTATCAAAGAGTACGTAAGAAAGGAAAGAAAAAGCAGTACAAAACTAGAAATCGAATTCACAGGGCCACTCATAAAGGTTCATACTTTTAAATTTAGTGTGCATATCCTGGGATCCAGCAATTCTTAAGAGTTTCTACTTTTGGGGCACCTGGGTGGCTCAGTCGTTAAGCATCTGCCTTCAGCTCAGGTCGTGATCTCAGGGTCCTGGGACCAAGCCCTGCATCGGGCTCCTCACTCAGCAGAGAGCCTGCTTCTCCCTCTCCCTCTGCCTTCCCCACTGCTTGTGCTCTGTCAAATAAAAAAAAAAAAGTTTTTTTGGTTTTAATTTTAAGTAGGCTCCATGCCCAATGAAGGGCTTGAACTCTTCACCCTGAGATCAAAGTCAAGTCATACTGGCTGAGAGCCAGCCAGGCCCCCCAATATTTTCTACTCCTGAAAAGCAGCAAACCTTAGCATGCACCAGGACACACAGACAAGTACACTTGTGGCAAAACTGTTTTCCCTTATAAATTGGAAACACCCTAAAAGAAACTCAAGAGGAGAATGGCTGAGCTTGCGTACATCATATGGAATTAAGTATGACAAATAAGACTTATGCACCAGCGTGCAGAAGTTCATTCAAACTACACAGGCAGGGGCACCTGGGTGGCTCAGTCGGTTAAGCATCTGGCTTTGGCTTAGGTCAGGATCTCAGGGTCCTGGGATGGAGCCCAGCTCCTGTAAGAGCTGTAGTGATCAGAATCGTATGGTACCGGCACCAAAATAGACACGTAGATCAATGATACAGAATAGAGAGCCCAGAAATAAAGCCATAATTATACGGTCAATTAATCTTCGACAAAGGTGGCAAGAACATGCAATGGGAAAAAGTCTTTTCAACAGATGGTGTTGGGAAAACTGGACAGCTACATGCAAAAGAATGAAACTGTGCCACTTTCTTCCACAAAAATTAACTCAAAAATGGATTAAGGAACTAAATGTGAGACCTGAAACCATAACAACCCTAGAAGAGAGCACAGACAGTAATATCTCTGACATTGGCTGTAGCAACATTTTTCTAGATATGTCTCCTGAGACAAGAGAAAAAAGCAAAACTAACCTATCGGGACTACATCAAAATAAAAAGCCTCTGCATAGTGAAGAAAACAACCAACACAACTAAAACACAACCTACAGAATGGGAGAAGATGTTTGCAAATGACATATCCGACATCCAAAATACCTAAAGAGTTCATACAACTCAACACCAAAAAGTAATCCAATTAAAAATGGGCAGAAGACATGAACAGACATTTCTCCAAAGACATCCAGATGGCCAAAGACACATGAAAAGATGCTCAACATCCATCATCAGGGAAATACAAATCAAAACCACAACGAGATATCACTTCACACCTGTCAGAATGGCTAAAATCAAAAACACAAGAAACAATAAGTGTCGGCGATGATGTGGAGAAAAAGGAACTCTCGTGCACTGTTGGTGGGAATGCAAACTGGTGCAGCCACTCTGGAGAACAGTATGGAGGGTCCTCAAAAAATGAAAAATAGAACTGCCCTAAGATCCAGTAATCACACTACTGGGTATTTACCCAAAGAATATGAAAACACTCATTCGAAAGGATATGTGCACCCCAATGTTTATGGCAGCATTATTTGTAACAGCAAAATTATGGAGGCTGCCCAAGTGTACACCAATAAAGGAAAGGATAAAGAAGGTGGGGTACATATATACAATGGAATATTACTCAGCCATAAAAAATAATGAAATCTTGCCATTTGCAATGATGTGGATGGATCTAGAGAGTATAATGCTAAGCAAAACAAGTCAGAAGGACAAATACCCTATGATTTCACTTATATGTGGAATTTAAGAAACTGATAGAGGAAAAAAAAAAAAAGCCAAACCAAGAAACAGACTCTTAACTATAGAGAACAAACTGATGGTCACCAGAGTGGAGGTGTGGGGGGGGGATTAGGTAAAGGGGATTGAGGTGCACTTACTGTGATGAGCGCTGAGTCATGCATAGAGTGGTCGAATCACTATATAATGTAATACTGTATGTTAATTACACTGGAATTAAAATTTAAATAAAAAGAGATACAGAATGATGAGCCAGGTTCCAGGGCCCAGTTGATGGAGGCTCCAGCAGGTAGAGAGGAGAAAAGCACAGATATCAAGTAAGGAAAGGGGACACAGACCCAGAGCCTGCCAGATGGCCTTGACTTCTAAGTATACAACAAATTTGTCCAGTGAGGATAGAAAATCGGAAGAGGGCGCCTGGGTGGCTCAGTTGGTCAAGTGTCTGCCTTCAGCTCAGGTCATGATCCTGGAGTCCTGAGCTCGAGCCCCGGCCTTGTCCTGGGGCTCCCTGCTTAGCGGGGAGTCTGCTTCTCCCTCTCCTCCTCCCCTGCTCATGGATGCTCGCTCTCAAATAAATAAATAAAATCTTAAAAAAATAGGAAGAGAGCGGAAAATTATAAATATTTAGAGGCATGCAGAGAGAAGTAGAGAGAAAGTGGTTAGGAAGGAAGAGAACCACTGAACAGGGCTTGGGTTGGGTTGGAATGAACCGCTTAACCCATCAGCTACTTGTAATCCTGTCGTCTTGGTGGATCTGTCCCCAAGGCTAGGAAACCCCTCCTGAGTTTGAGAGCTGAAAGGACAGGTGGGGGTCACACCGAGCCAGGACCGGGCTTTGCCACGGGTCCTGCACACAAGAGACTGTTAAAATGACAAGCTCCGGTTGGAGTAGGAAAGAGACCAGGAAGAGAAGAATCTGAAGGACAGGACAGAAGACAGAATGAAAAGCCCTGAGGGGCCATGAGGACCCAGGAAAGGGGGGCTGATGGTGAGGAGGTTGGGGTTGAATTTCCAAGGTGGGCCACGTGGGAGTATAACCAAGTCCTCAGTGGACAGGGCACCGGGAGGGGCTGAAGCAGAACGGAAGAGGCAAGGGTCAGAGTTGAGGTCAAGAAAGCCAAGTCATTGACAGGGTCATTGTAAGGACATTAGTGAGGCTCCCAGGAGTCAAAAGGGGAGGAGGAGGGAGGACAGCGCCAGAGGTCACCTCAGTGAAGACCTGGAAAGAAGCCATGTGGGCAGAGAGGGGCCAGAGTAAAAAGGGAATGTCTCCATGGCATTGGTCTCTGAGGAGGGAGAGGCCCTGCCCTTTGGCCTGGAGGATGTGGGGTGTGAGAGAATGAGCAGCGGTGGGCTGGGGATCCTAGGGAGCTTTAGACACTCGTGCTGATGACCACCCCCCAACACACACACACTGCTCCCCACCCAGAGGGGGACTGAGCTGAGCTGATCTGAGGGAGGACCTGGGTATGGAGATTTTTTAGCTTTTGACAGTTTCAGACTTACACAGAAGTTGCAAGAATAGTACAAAGAATTCCCAGAGGCTCCTCACTCAGATTCCTCAAGGGTTAACATCCTAATTACTCGTCAGCACTTTCTATCGCACACGCACACACTTCTCTCCCCAAGTGGCTGCCACTAAGTGGGCAGGCAGGTCTCAAAGCTCCCTGGGTGGTGCCTGGAGGCTTCTAGGAACAAGAAGCACTGGTTAGTGGAGGCGCCCAGAGTAAACCAGTATAAACTGGTGAGGAGGTAAAGGCAGAACAGTTAAGGACATAAAGGCAGATGCCCACTTGCTCGGGCCCAGGGCCTGAGGGCAACGCGGACAAGGGCCCGGCCAGGAGCGCAGGCCTGCAATGCCTTCCCGAGGGGCAGTCACCGGCGTCAGAGCCCGGGCCTCGAATCGTCCACCACCGTGGGCACTGCCCACCAGTGTCTGGCACCATTTGAGTGAACGGAATGCTCACTCTTGGCAAAGTCATTTAGCACCAGACTGGTCAGGAGCTTCCAGCAGGCTCTGGAGCCTGGAAGGTCAGGTGGGGAGATGGCTGACAGCTCTCAAAGGAGGGGCAAGTCTCTCGTGGGCATGTGAGGAGGAAGGGGGTTGGGGTTGGTGAGAGGCAGGTGGAGGAAGCAAGAACTCTGTCCTTGGTGAGATCCAGCAGATGTCGCCCCCGCCCCCTCCCACAGCCCCACTTGGTTTCCCTCCGGAAGGCAGTGCGGAGCCCAGGGGACAAGGACGAACGGTCATGGAGGAAGCAAGCCAGGTACCTTTTCCAGCACCTCCCCCGGGTACAGGGGGAAGGGGTCCTGGGTCAGCCGGATCTCTAGGTCAGCGTGGCGGAGCCGGACTTGCCCTGTGACATCGAACAGCACAGAGCCCTGGGGGTCTCGGGACACGGGGTTGGCCACCATGCAGTAATGGCGTGGAGGGACAGTCACCATGCGCAAGGGGGCAAACAGGACCCTGTTGGAGGGTAAGAAGCAGTGTGAGGACCCAGGGGGCCCCTGTTCCCACTTCTGAGGGGGACACTGAACGGGAGAGAAAGCTCCCCATCACCCATGCCACGGCCAACCCCACCTGGGGCAGGAAGGAGATGGACAATCGAGCCAGCCAGACAAACAGGCACCCCACGGCCCAGTCCCAGCACCCACCTCTCATTGTCCTGCCGGATGTAAGTCTTTGGCCCGATCTCCACATGGGACACGTTGCTGTTCTGGTCCAGCACGTGGATGTAGTGGTACGGGGGGATGCGGATGATGGACTCTTCAGTTGCCATGGTGACTCCTGTGGCCAGGGCAGCAGGCTGACAGACAGGTGGGGAGCGGATACAACAAGATGAGCACAGGGGGCCTGGCAAAGGCAGGCAGGAGCCTGAGGCCCGACCGGGGATGAGGGAAGGGGCCCTTCCTCCTCCGGTTCACATCATTTCGCCCTGTAACATCCCTCGCCGGCCTCTGCCTTTCTTCTCCCCACTCAGGGCAACGCAGCCCATCCAGACCCTGCCGAGAACTGGCTCCAAGGACGCAGGCTCCTTTATTTGAGAGGATCCCGAGGCCCCAGCTGTACTGAAATGTTAGCCCACAGCCCAAGAACATTTGCACAATCTTTGTCTGCACCTCCCCCTGCAAGCACGCACACGCACGCTCTAAGCAGTCTAGGATATACTGTTCAGACGTGGGCCACCTCTCAAGGGAGGGATCCCCTGCAGAACTGGGACTCCAAAGAATCAGCTGGATTAGAAACACCAAATTAGTCTAGTCCTTTCCTCCCCAGTTCTCTCTGGTCTCTTGCCACTTTTGGTTTCCTGCAGTTGTGAGTCGGGTGGGAAGGGAAAGGGAATAAATGAGTACATATCCCACCCACCCCCATCCTACCTGCTTCTGAATCCTGGGTGGTTCTGATCCATGCTTGGCCTGTTCAAGGAGGTCCCACCTAAACCCCATCCCTACCTCCAGCATGCCTTGGACTTTGGACAACCTATCCCTTGGAGTCACACAAGGGGAACCAAGTTCGCTAGGGGACTCAAAGCCTTGTCCTCTGAGACTTCAGTCAGACATTTTTGAAGCCACCACCAGAAAGGAGCGACACCTCCCCTACTGGACCATTCATCCAACCTCCAACCTGAGTGAGAAGAGGGGAAGCAGGGAGGGAGTGGCTTGCCACAGGAGAAATAGGCAGAAGTCACAAAATTACAGAACCGAGGCAAGGCTGAAGAGTTTTGCTTCATTTACACAACCTGTAAAATTTCTTTTTTTGTTTAGCAATTACGAGTTTTCAGACTCCTGACTGCTGCTTCTCTTGAAGAATGAGAAGCCACACCCTCTGCTCCCGCCTAGCAGAACTGGATAGAGCCAAGTCTCAGCTGCTCCCTTTGGATGGGACACAAGCTTCCCTGCTTACCACACTCCACACCTGTTGTCCCTGCTGTCTGACACCTGGGCCGCTGCACTCACATCACCTGCTTCAAACCCTCTACCTCAGCATCATCCAACAGAACTCTAATGATGGACATCTTCTAAACCTGCGCTCTTTGGGCTGGCCACGTGTGGCTACTGAATACTTGAAATGTGACTAGTGTAACTGAGGAGTATTACATTTTGATGAAGGTAGCCAAATAAGGCTGGTTGACCCCAGATAACACAGTGTAGCTCAAAGTGTTGGAGTCCCAGATAGGGACTCTGGATCATTCAGGGCCACCCAGCCAATTAGTGGTACCATTGGGATGAGAATCCCGATGGAATGGCTGGTTCCGTCCTTCTCCCGGGGCAGCATGGGACAGTGATTAGGGGCCCGGAGTCAGCCAGACTGCCCATGCTTACCGTTCTGATTTCCCACCTTAATGTCTTACCTCATTTTGAAAGGCTACAGTTTTGACCTCTTTTCCCGGTCCGCTTTTGGACATCAAAGGAATGGTCTGCTCTCTCTTGCAACTTTGTATGGGATTTGACCTTGATACTTTTCTGTGGCTCCTTTTTATGTGAGGTTAATTTCCCTTAATTTGTAGGAGTAGCTTTTCTAACATCAGAGCTCCCCCTGCTGTTGTGTCCAGATAATGTTCGATTCTCGTCCCCACTCAAACCGGGACCTTCCTGTTCCTTCCGGTCTACCGCCCGGGCCCTCCCAGCTGTGCTTCCAAAGTTGCTCCCTGATGAAGCCCCTAGGATCCTTTACTGGATGGGTAACCTCAGACAATTCTGTTGCCCTCCCTATACCCGTTTCCCAGGGCTATAAACTGAGAACGGAGAGGGCATCTACCCAAGTTATGAGGACTGAGGTCATCATAAAGTAGCTGGAACAAAGCCCAGCTCTTCAGAAGCACTGTGTGGCTTACTGCTGAGGCAGGAAGAGCCTGAAGCTCAGCTCCCTTAATCAGGGGGATGTGGCCTAGCACCAGAGGCTCCCTATGCCACCTGGCCTTAACCACCGCTCCCCCCCCTTGTTGACTGGTCAGAAAGGTGGCAGGTCTCCTGTCACCCCAGCTGTGGGGCGAAAAGAATAGCAAAGAAGGGGCATCTGACAGCCAAGTGAAGCCTTTTCAAGCTCTTCCTCTGCCAAGTTCTCTGCAGGGGGGAAGCCTGGCCAGGAAGCCAGATGGGGGAGAGGAAGGGCTAGGGCTATAAACGGAGGGGTGGACAGGGCTCCATGAGGCCCCCCAGGGAAGATCTGAACTCTAGAAGGCCATGCAGGGCTGGGAAGCAGGCCCCAGGAACAGCGTCCAATGACTCCTTTTTGGACAATCCCCCACTCCCTACGGCTGAGGCCTCTCCACCATCTGTCACCCCAGCTGGGTCCAGTCAGCGGGGCTGAGAGTGTCGCCTAGCTCAGCGAGTCAGCCGAGAGTCTGCCTTCCAGCTGATCTGCCTGGGCTTCTGCCTTGTTCCAAAGCCAAGGCCTTGGTTCAGTATCAGGACCCTGTCTTAACCCACCATGCCCTACGGCTGTGCCTTCCACCTAGACCACCTGCTCTTCACCCAGGAACAGACTTTGCTCTTTTCCTTTTGTCACCTGCAGAAGGGAGCCTTGAGGTAAGGCCTCTCCTGGGAACCAGGGAAACCACCCGACTTAGGCAACATGTTTATGACAAGTCCCAGATTTAGACTTTTGTGGTTTACCAGATGACGTGTGCAGTCGGAACATTTTCTTCCCAATATATCAGGACCCTCCAAAAACAACGGTCAAGGATTGTGTTGACCTTTGGAAGTTCCTGCCCAGCACCTGGGTTTGACCCCCATACTCCAAATCCACCCAGGCCTCTCTTTGGTGCCTGCTTCCAGAATCTGCCCCCTCATCTGCTTTCCTGGCACGTGCGCAGCTTTGCCTGATCACACGTCCCTCAAGGGTCATGAGACTCCTGCAAGAGCCAGTCAACTCTTGCCCAAAGTCTTGGACACTGCACCACACCCACGAAGAAAAGAGCAAGGTAATGGGTGGCGGGGCAGAGAACAAAACAAGCTATAAGCAGAAGTAGGGTTCATCCTCAAGTTGAGAGGCGGTTCTTAACACTACAGCAAAACCTCATGAGTTTCTTTGGTCACTACCAGTCAGATATCTTCAGGGTCAACCTCATGTGAGCGCCTGGCACAGTGACTCTAAAAGCAGGTGCCCCAGGGACCAGCTTTCTTATTTCTTACTGTGTGCTGGTCTGCGGAGAGCACTGTCGGCCTAACCTGAAGCTTGTTAGTGAGGGGGCTTCTCGGGCCTCACTCAAGGGCTGTTGAATCCGCCAGCATTTTAACTAGATCCCTAGTGATTTGGGTGCACATTAGAGTACCAGCAGCTCTGGCCTCAAGCAGCCACTCTCAGTCCTGGCTGTACTTGAGAATCACCTGGAGGTCTTTGAAAACCACTGATCTCTGGGGATTCTGACATTAGGGGGGTGGGGTGGGGTGAAGCATTGCCTCCCCTGCCCCCACCGCCGCCAGCAGGCTCTATGCCCAGCATGGGGCCCAACACAGGGCTTGAACTCATGACCCTAAGATCAAGACCTGAGCTGAGATCATGAGTTGGATGCTAGGGGCGCCTGGGGGGCTCCATCAGTTAAGCAGCCAACTCTTGATTTCAGCTCCAGTCACGATCTCAGGGTCATGAGATGGGGCAATGCGTCGGGCTCAATGCTCAGTGCGGAGTCTGCTTGGGGTTCTCTCTCTCCAGACTCTGCCCCTACTCCTTCCCCTCCCCCGCCACGTCCACAGGCTCTCTCGCTCTAAAACTGTATTTTTTAAAAAAAAGAGTTGGATGCTCGACAGACTGAGCCACCCAGGCGCCTGGAGCATTGCTATATTTAAAAGCTCTCCCACTGACTGATACCCGGCAAGGATGAGCTCTGTCATGATCTTGGGCCACTTGCTAGCTCTGAGCCAGAGTGTCCTAGACTGAGAAGTGGAAAGAAGAGGGACTGTTTCCTGGGCTTGAAGAGATTAGCGGCCACAGGATGTGTCTAGTACAGGGGAGCTCAAAGGTGGCTGGGAGGAGAGAGAATAAAGAGGAGCTCAGATTAGACTGCGCCTCAGGGGCAGGGCATTTGGTTATTCTCCTCCTGCCCCCTCGCCAACACAAGCCCCCTGCCCCGAGCAGGCTGGAAGGTGCAGGGGAGGCCGGTGACTCAGCCTGCCACCATCACCTCTATCAAGTTCAGGTTTAGGACAATGTACAAGACGTTCAGCGTAAACAGGGGCTCATCTTTGCAGTTTCCCTGATTGTAAACATTCTACACTTTGTTTGGAGAATGCAAGAGTCCCATTACTCAGGGACTGCACAGAAGCTGTTTATACACTGGCTTAGTTTAGGGAAATTATTTCCAGCTTTAGGGAACTAGAAGGGACATTTCTGAGACTTTGTCTCAGCAATCACGTTTAAGAGCAAAGCTTTAGGAACTTTTCTTCCTTTGAAAGAGGAAGCAGCTCCTTCCTTCGCTGAGCTCCAGTCCACCTACCTTGTGGGAGGAGCAGCTTGGTGGCTTCACTGGGGACAGAGCAGTTCTGGCAGCTTGGAATGCTGCTTGTCCTATCTTCATCCTACCTCCTGGATGCTGCCAATTAATGCTCATCATTGAAGGTGAAGATTGTCTAGTTGAGAAGTGACCCAGGAACCAGGCTTCAGAACCCCCAATCGAGATTGTTTTCTAAACTCGCTCCATCATAGGACCCAGCTGAGATTGTGGCTCCTGCGCATGCTGATTCCAACGCCTCGCCCAGAACTGCTGCACCAGTTTCTGGGGGAGAGACTCCAGAACGTGTATCTTTGGCAAGAGCCCCCAAATAACAGCTCCCACTTATTAAGGACATAAACTGTGCCAGGTGTTGTGTTAAGTGCCCTTAATTGATTCATCTAACCCTAGAAGTTAAGGAACTTCACTCAGGATCACACAATGATCAAAGGACAGGGTCAGAAATCCGCCCGTTAGCCTGTCTGCAGAGCTCCCAAACCAGGGAGTAGCCTGGCTTCTCAGGCAGAAAGGTAGGATTCTAAACCCAGAACACGGACTTCTGACCTGGGTGGGGCTGGGTATTCTCTAGGAGATAGGCATTTCACAGGTGAGCACTTTCTGCAAGGGGAGGGTTTTGGGGGGGGCAGCCTCCATCCCGCGAGGAAGCCCGAGTTACCTTGGAGCCCTCAGGCGGTCCCTGGGCCATCCACTCTATCAGCTCTGACCCCACCTGGAAAGCTTCACACACACGTGCCCCCCCCCCCCCCCCGTCAGGCTGGGGGCCCTGCATGCCAAGGGCGGAAACAGGTAGGAGCTCCCAGGGAGCACTTGGGCTGGCACTCCATGTAACAGCCAGCTTTCTCCTCGCAACCCAAGGTCCCCTCGGGGCACAGGGACATCTACCTCAACCACCATCCCCCACCCCTCCAGATTTCATTCCTGGAGGGCCAGCCCTAAGATCTTCACAATCACAGGCTGGCAGGGCCCAAAAAAGTTTTGCATTTCTTCCTTTCACCCTCCCAAAGAGAAAAAGAATCTCGCTCACCAACCTCCACGACTTCTAGAAGTCAATCCTGCCTTAAGATTGCTATGCTAACCACTTCCCACATGGTCCGCAAGGGCCACGGTTGGCATAGCCTTAAGTGAGGCAATAGTAAAGCCTCAACATTTGGCTGAGATGAAGGATCTGGGGGTGGGCAGGAATCACACTCTAAAAGCTCAAGAGGACAGGCCAGAGCCAGGGGCCCTGGGGGAGGAAGCAGCAGAGGCCGGCGGCAGGGACCCAGGACGGAGTCTGAATGGACCCAAGTTTCCTCTGTCCTTACTTCTGATGTGGGAGCCTGAAGTCGAGAGGCCTGAGATTTTGGGGGGTCGGGAAGTGCTGGCAAGGTAACAAGTTGACCTACCTTTACTTCAAAATGCAGGGGAAAAAAAAAATCCAACAAGGAAAGTAAAACCTCCCAAAGGTAAGCCTCCACCCACCTTCTTCCTCCTCAGGCTCCGAGAGGTCTTACCTGCCCCAGCAGAAGCAAGCAGTGCTAGAAGGCCGGTCGGGGCTTGGAGAGCCTGGGGACACAAGGCCCCACCAGGGGTTTGGGGGCTTTGGGACCAGTACGAAGTACCCGGAAGAGTGCCCGCCGTCTGAGACCCCCCTCAGATGGGGAAACTCCGTAGCCCAGCCCTAGGGATCACTTCCCGGCAGGGCAGGCTCAGGGGTGGGGCTTGGCCATTTAAAGGGCCCTCGCAGCTGGTTCTCGGTGTTTCTCCTCTGGGCGGCTTCTCCGGCAGCTGAACGCACTGCAGCTCCTTCAACCCTCAGGAAGCTCCCGCCTCAGAGCCCTCGGAAACGGCAGCGCCGGAATGAGCCTGGGAAGGGTCAGAGGGCCTGGGACGGGGAGGGCAGGTGCAGACTGAGCTCGCCTCTGCCCCATGTGGCTTTCATTTCAATTTCCCCAACTGGGTGTCTGTGATCAATCCCGCCGCTCTGCAACCGTCTGGGCTGCTGCAGCCCACCCTCTAAGAGACGATAACTTGGCATTTTTTTATTTTAGATTCAGAGAATTCAGCCCAGGTCTCCAAAAAGATGTTCAACAGAAAGCATACATAGGCACACACACTTTCTCTTTCTGGCAAGGGGCAGTGTTGGGAGCTTGGGAGTCTCTGTGCTCTTGCCCAGTGTCCCAGCGCCCTGGGCTTGGGAAGCGGGGCCCAGAAGGTATATGCTCTGCACCCTAAAGGCAGCAGCAGTGCTCAGTATTTCCGCTGCCGGGGGAAGAGAGTGCTCCCTGAGGACCGGAGCGGGGGGCTGGTGGGGCTGGGGTCCTCTGAGTCTAGGCTGAAGAGGTCCCTGCCAGTACGAAGGATCTGCTCCTCCAGCTTCTTGTGTCGCTTCATGTCGGAGAGAACCTTGTCGAGGCGGGCCTCCCGTTTCTGGCTCCGGGCAGAGCTTCCTGGAGGAAAGGAAGGTAAGAAATGTGGATGGGAGTGAGGGGCTGTGTACCAGACTCGCCTAGATGTTACTAATTATTTGGGGAGCTCATTAAACATACAGATTTCCAAGCCTCTGTCATGGAGGCCCTGAGGTTCGGGGTTGGGCCTCAGATGGGGCAGTGAAGGTCTGAACTATGAGAAGGGGCCAGTAATGTGAAGACCAGGGTAAAGATACCCAGGTAAGGGAAGAGCAAGTGCAAAGGCCCTGAGGCAGGAACAGGGAGGTCTGTTCAAAGAAGAGTATAGAGAGCTGGGGGGTGGTGGGGAGATGGAAAGATGTAATCAAAGAAATGACTTAGAGGCCATGATGAGGGATTTGGATCTCTTAGTTTAAATAGAAATAAATGTCTTTGGAAACCTCGGGAGCCCAGGCAGTCAGGGGAAGTTGTGGTGTTTGGATTCTCTCTTGACATGCTCTTTTCCCCAACAATGGAATCCTCTGGAGAATTTTAAACAGAGTAGTGACATGATTTGTATTTTGAAAGGATCATGCTGGTTGCTGAGAATGGAAGCAGGGAGACCAGTTAGGAGCCACCACAAATATCCAGGCAAAAGAGATGATGGCTTGGGGTGCCTGGGTGGCTCAGTTGGCTGGGCTTCCAACTCTTGATTTCGGCTCCAGTCGTGATCTCGGGGTCGTGAGATTGAGCCTCGAGTTGGGCTCTATGCTGCGCATGGGGCCTGCTTAAGATTCTCTCTCCCCCTCTGCCTCCCCTGTCCCCCACACCCCCCCATCCTGTGCCCAGGCCTGCTGTCTCTAAAAAAAAAAAAAAAAAAAGAGCAACAATGGCTTGGATGAGGGTGTGCTGTTGAAGGTGAAAGTAGCAGACGAGCTTGGAAATGTGGAGGTGGAGCTAACAGGACTTGCTGCTAGCTTGAATGTTGGGGTAAAAGAGAAATCAAGAATGGCTCCAGGGAAAATTCCTGGAAGGCACACGGGGTGTGAAATCAGGTCAGATTAGGAGATGTACACAGTAGTATAGAAATGAGGATCTAGATAATAAGGAATGGCCAGGAAGACTTGAACTTCTAGGGAGACAGAGATAAGAGGAACGGGAAACATGACAGAATCATCCGTGAAAGTCTCGTAAAGGAAGACAGGGTGTCTATCCAAGCTGTTAGGATGGCACCGCTGGATGAATGCTCTCTCCTACAGCTACAAGTTGCGTAGCAACCAAAGCACCAAGCATAGGCCTCTTTTAGGGAGTCACCTTCTAGCTCAGTGGGAGTAGAGGTCCTTCACCTTCCCCTCCCCCTTTGTCTGTACCTGGGGTGCGTCTCCGGTCAATCAGGGAGTCCTTTGGTGTCATTGGCTCATCGTCAAAATCAAATTCTGTAGGCATGTGCGGTCTGGGACAGGTGGACAGAAAGTGAAGGGTGAGGGTGGTCTCCCCAAATACCCCGGCCTGCAGGTCTCCCCTCCCCATTCCATCCCTCCACTTTCCATGCTCCAGGGTCCCAGCTCCCCACCCAATTTCCTCCTGGCACCAAGGGAGCAAGCCCCAGGAACAAGGTGTAAGGGTGTGCCCTCACTTTTCCTCTTCCTCCTCTTTGGCCTCAGGCTCCTCATCGGATCTCTCCTCTTCACTCTGGGCCTCAGGCGTGGGTGGCCGGCGGGGCAGGATCTCAGCCTGAAGCTCCAGGGTACCGTGGGCAGCCAGTAGTTCATAGAGCCGCTGGATTTCCGAGGGGGGAGGCATCCAGGCCTGCCCATCCGAGGGGAGCTCCATCTCCTCATCGCTGCAGGGCACGCACCAGTCTTCGGAGTCTCCCTTGGCATGCTCTTCCCCTTCAGCGCTAGGGGCTTCTCCCTGCACCTCCTCGGCCCCGGACCCCTCATGCTCGGTCTCCTCCCGGCCTCCTTCCCCCTCTTCCTCGGCTTTATTGGCCGAAGCAGAGGAGCCTCCAGTATCCTCCACGGCCAGAGCTTGGAGGCCAGAGGTCACTTCCCCTTCTTCAGAAAGAGGCGCCGCCGTGGTGGCCGAAATGTCTCCATGACCACGAACAAGGGACATAGGCTACTAGGGGAGGGGCCCTGCGATGATAGGAGATGCAGGAGTACTAAGCCGAGGCGGGGGGGGGGGGGGGGGGCCGGCTCCCGCTCTACTCTCCCAAGGGATTGGGCTCCCCAGGAGTTCAGGGATTGTCTCCAACCAATCAGGCTCCAACAGCGGTCCCAGCGACTAGACCGCCGGTTCCCAGGAGGGGGCGCTGAGTCCCCTCCAAGGACCCCGCCCCACGGATCCAGATACGGTACTCCGAGATTCTCCGGGACCAGCGGAAACCACTTTCTGGGCCGGAGAAGGGCGGAGCCGCTCTTCTCGCCTTCACACTGCCCCTCTTCACACCTGGATCCGGCGCCCTCTCCCCAAACTTCCCCGCCTCAGCCGCCGTACGCACCTGGAGCTAAGACCCGCCTCCCGGGCTGCGCAGGGTCACAGTACGCAGGCGCATAGAGACGGCGCGGAAGGATCCGCTCTAAGCCCAAGCTACTTGGAAAAGGAAAGCAAGGGGAGGATTGCACATGCGCAGGTAGGCTCGGGCACAATTGGCTCCGGCCCACAGTAAAGATGGCCACCGGGACGGCGCATGCGCATACACCCAGTGGGTTCAGCCCGAAAGGGGGCAGTACCGCGGGCCCCGGCGGCGGACAGACGTTAAGGACCAACTGAGGCTGGAGGCGAGTCTCATGCAGTCTCCGTTTATTGGTGTTTCAGACTCATGCAGCATCCGGCATACAAAAAGGGAGGATCTGTTTGATGTGTTTTTTTTTTTTAAGACTTTTAGTTTTTCCCCCTCCCCACTTTTTTTTTTTTTTTTTTAAGAAAACAAAACCCGCCAACTCCGAACAGCGTCGTAGCTCGGTCCCCGCCTCCCTAGCGGACTGTCGCGTGCAACAAACCTCCCTCGTCCTCTTGGAAAATAATTATAGAGCTCCCCGCCCCTCACTCGCTCCCTGCATCTGGGAGCTTTGGTCCTATTTCGGGGTTCTTTCGTTTCAAAGCACGGGAATGACCCCAGCCCCGACGCCTTATTTAAGAAACTTCGCTGAGCGGGTTTTAAAAAGGCCCAGGTGGGGCAGGTCAGCTTGGGCTGATCGGAAGGCGTCAACAGCCGCGCCCCTTCCTCCTCCCAGGTGCGTGCTCCGAGCTAGCAGTCGTGCCCGACACCCTGCACAAGTCCCCAGACAAGGCCTAGCTTGCCAGCTCTGCGACCCAGAGGCGCCCTGGGGGCGTCAGGACCTGGGTGGTCCCAGCAGAAAATAGTCGGAACCTGGGCTGGGGAGCCCTCCCCGTGACACCGCTCCCCGCTCCCCTCCCCCAGCCTGATCTAAATGCTGGAGTTTTTGCAGAGAAAACGGTGGCAGGAGGGAGGAGAGGATCCTGAGGGGAGGAAGGGATGCTGAGGGGAGAGGAGGCAGGAAGAGGAAGGGGGCAGAGGGTGTGGAGGGGGAAGGGGAGATGATAAAGGGGAGAAAGAAGAGAGGAATGGGGGAAGATGCCAAGACACTGAAAGTTGAAAGGGGGACACCAGGGCTGAGGTGCAGGGAATTCAGGAAGTTGGGAGGAGTGCAGGGAGGCTGGGAGAGATGCAGGGAGGCTGAGAGCAGAGAGAGTTTGGGAGACGTTCAGGTCAGGGAGGTTTCCAGAAGTGCAGGGAGGTTTCCAGAAGTGCAGGGATAGGGAGGCCAAGAGGCTGGAGGGGATGCAGGCAGAAGTGCAGGGAGGTTGGAAACAGTGCGGGGAGAAGGGAGGCCTACGGTTGGCACAGGAGCCTGGCAGGATGCAGGAGCAGGAAAGAAGCTGTAAACAAGGCCGCTCAGGCTCCCTTGGTCCCTATGGGTGCGGGCCTGGGCCATCGATTGGGCTCCCCCCGGGGGAGGATGGGCCCAAGGCAGCTCCCAACAGGAAGAAAAGTCTTGGAATGCGGGGCAGAGCCCCTCACTTATACACTGTGGGAGAGGAGAGGGAGGGACAGAGAGAGACGGTGGGGGGAGAGACAAGGAGAGACAAAGGAGAAGTAGGGAGGACAGACAGGAGAGAGCAGGGGCAGGGGTTAGTAAAACTGCCCTTGCCAACCCTTCCATTCCTCCCGGCCTGTCCCAGACCCCCACTCACCGCCTAAGTTGATGACGCAGGAGGCGATGATGATGAGGACCCCCCCTACCAGCGCCACGATGCTTAAGAGCTTGGCCACGCGGCCCAGACGCTGGGCCCCATCCACGTCCCCCTGCTGCAGGCTGTTCCGGGACTGGGGTTAGGGTGAGGGGTGGGGCACCGTGGGCCCAGCAGGGATCAGGTGAAGGAGTTGTCCAGAGGGAGACAGGCAGCCCAGCAGGGATCAGGTGAAAGAGTTGTCCAGAGGAGATAGGCAGGCCCCGTGGACAGTGGTTAGAGGGGGAAAGAGGGTTGGAGAGGCAGGGGGAGGAGGGCACAGGTCAGCAAGGCTGTGTGAAACATGTCTTGACCTCCCTCCCGCCTGAAAGGGTAGGGCAGTGGCGGCTCAGAAGGGAAGGTCCCAGGGAGAGGCCAGAAAAGGCCCCATACTTGGGAAGTGAGATCCATGCAGAGAGGAGAGGAAAGGCAAGGCTTCTCCTGGGGTTCTGTCCCAGTGCTGGCAGGAAGCTGGGAGCCGCAGCAGGCCTGGGCCAGGGTCCCGTGGGGCTCACCATGACAGCGTAAGCGAAGGCCACGATGTTGACAGGCCACATGGGGCAGAAGCAGGACAGGATGGCGAGGATGATGTAGTCCCGAGGCTTCTGGGTGCCTTCACCCCCCTCCACCCCAGACCCTGCCAGCTGGGAGCTGGGGTGGCGGCTCAGGCTACCTCGGGGAGATCCTGGATGCCCACTGTGAGCCCTTCCTAGTCGGTCCTCCTCGACCAGCTGCTGCAGCACGCGGGGAGGAGCCCCATTGGCTGGGTGGGTTTTTGTTGCGGGTGGCGAGTGAGGCTGTGGGGCTGGGCCTTCTTCCCCGCCACCAGGCTGCAGGGGAACCACTGCCCCATTCTCTTGCTTTTCCCCCACATTCTCAGTCAGGACCTCAGGGGTGGGGTCCTCCTGGGTAGGGGGCTCTGGGTGAAGAGCTGATTTGGGGGTGGGCTGGGAACCTGGCTGGCAGTCTGGCTGAGGGTCTGACTGGGGGTCCAACTGGGGAGCAGGCTCTGAGGCTGGCTCAAGTGGGGCTGCAGACCCCAGATCGGACCCCTGGTCTTCAGTGACCTCTTTATTCCCTTCTGGTTTGGGTGCTGGCTCTTGGCATGCTTCTTCGGGGCTGGGGTTGGCATTTGGTTCCCCTCCTGGGCTTGAGCTGAGGTCCTTGGCCTGGGCTGTTTCTGGGGACCCAGTTGGGGTCTCTGTGGTTTCTGGAGCCAGCCCAGCTTTGACTTCTGAGTCCACAGGGGCCCCAGTGATGTCTGGGCCCGGCTGCGGGGCCTCTGGCTTATCTGGGACCCCAGCTGGGACCTGGAGAGGGCCAGTTTCGGCTTCAGAATGGCCAGGCCCTTCTCCTTGGGTTTGGGGACCCTCTTCTATCCCCTTCATCTCTGAGCCCTCAGAGCTGCTGGCTGCCATCTTGGGAGGGGAGAGGGGAGAGGACCTCGATGGGGAGGCTGGAGCAGCAGAGACAGCAGCAGTCCTGAAAGAGGAGGAGACAGGTTTGGTGTGAGGAGGAAAGAGGTGGCTCTCGGCACTGCAGCTCCAGAGGGCTCTGCTCCTGTCTTAGGGCCAGCCTTGGGCTGCCTCTGGGGAGAGGAAGAAAAGTTGGGGTTTCCTTTGCCTTGGGGTGGGACATCCCCGGGGAGGAGGAGTGCTCTGCTCAAAGTCTTCTGCTCAGAGAGCCCTGGGAAGATTAACCCTTTTGTAAACAGGACCCTCCCATGGCCTCTTCCTGGGTCCGCCCGACAAGATCCAGCCTCTCAGATCCTAGCAGATGCCCCAGCACCCCGAAATCAACAAGCTGTGCAGACGCTCGCACGCTCCGACAGGCAGACAGGCACACTGGGCAGAGGACCGATACTCACATTCCACTCCCTCCGCATCCTCCCTTCCTCCCCGGGAGCCCGGCCGGTGCAGTTTCCTCACTATGCGACTGGGGCGCAGACGCCCCCCGCCCCTCCCTGGGGGACCTGGGCTTCTCCCGTGAGCCCCCTGTCAGCCCCTCTCGCAGGGATTCCCTCGCCCCCGGGGGACCGGCGCCTCCTCCTCCCACTGGCGTGGCGCGCCCAGCACCACCAGCCAGTCCGCCCGGCGCCCGCATTCCGGTGCAGCCCTCCCGGCGTCCGCCGTCTGTCCGCGCACTCCTACCCGCAGCCTCGGTCCAGCCCCGTCTCACCTCGACGCCGGCCTCTAGACTGCTCCCGCTGCTGCTGCTGCCACCGCCGCCCCGTTGCAGCAGCCGCAGCCCGGGAGGGAGCGAGTCAGCGAGGGAGGGAGGCGGCGGGTCTCCCCTCCCCTCGGCTCGTCCCCTCCTCTCGCTCCTCTCAGGTCCCCTCCCCTACGCTCCGCTGCCGCCGCGCACCGCCCCCGCCCCCTCGCTCGCCTCCCGCCCCTCCCCGCCAGCCCGAGGGAGCCACGCGTGCCAGGCCCCGCGTTACCCGGGCAACCGGCCGGGTAGCCACTCGCGCCCCCTCCCTGCCCCTTCCCACGCGCGCTTCTTGGGGGTGCCCCCTTCCCAAGCCCCCGGGCCCCTCCCGCCAACGGCCACCGGGGGTCCTGGCAGAGGCAGGGGGCTGGGGGAAACGGAGAGGGGTCTGCGAGGAGACAGGACCTGTGAGACAGGCGGGACCCGGTGGTGGTACCCCGACAAGCCGAAAGAGGGGAAGGGAAATGAGGCAAAACTTGGGGAGGCTGCTCAGGAGGAGCGGGGTGGGGTTTGAAGAAAAGAGAGCCTGCAGTACTGGAAGCCCCTCTCCCCGCGAGGAAGCAGCAGCCGAAATGGGCGCCGGAAGGCTCCCGGGTCCCTGGAGCCGGACTCAGAAGGGAATTCCAGGGCAGAGGCTGCAGGGGCAGTCTGGAACAGGAGGGGGCTGGGCCCCGGAGCCCGCAAGCGCTGAATGGACCACACCAAGAGCCAAGGGGGCAGGTGGGGGGAGAGGCGGTTTTCCTTGGCACCCTCTCCGCTCCCAGTCCCGGGGCTGACGTCCCCATCCTTTCTGCAGCTCCATCGCCCACTGTCACCCCTCAGGGCCTTAAGGGTGTGCAGGTACTCGGCTGGGGTCTGAGCAGCAGGCAATGGGTGTGAGTGGGGGAGAACAGCATTTATGTCTGGTTAACTGTTGGAGTTTCTAACTCAGGCCTCTTCGGACCTCCAGTGCCTATTCTGGGCCTGCCCAGATTGCGTATTCCCGGGAGACCTGGGAGTCCTGGAACCTGCTCTCCAGTCACTGGAGCCTCGGCCCCACCCTGAATCTGGGCTGCAGCCGCTGGTGCGGCCCCCGGCCGGGGAGGAGCCAGAGCCCCGGAGCCACGCAGGCCGGAGCCCGGCTGGGACTGGCTGGGACTGGCGCAGAAAGAAACGCCTGGGGGGGGGCGGTGCGGACAGGGAGCTTGGGGAGAGCAATCCATCCACTCCAAAATCAGAGACAAGTTTTTATTTAAAATTTATTGTAATGGGGTCCGCGCAAAAGGAGGGGGTGAAGGGTGGGGAACATGCAGGGGACACAGGAACACGATGACATGGCCAGGGCCACAGCTTCTGTCGTGGGGGAGAGGGATGAAAAGAAAAGGCCAGGGCTGGAGCTGGGGTGGAAGAGGGACGGGGGAGACACCGTGACTGCATTCCCCCCACCCCCAGGAAGCACCTCTAGTCCCTGGATCCCCCCATCTACCCTGGCACCCTAAAATTCCATCTCTTGTCCTGCCTCTGGCCCTAGTGGCTCCTTCTTTTGCTCCCCTTGACTTGTTTTCCCCTGACAGATTCTCAAGTAGGACGACGTTTAGGGCCTGACCCCAAACAACCCCACCTCATGAAGGTACTACCATTGCCTTCCCTGCTTCTGCCCCTTCTCCAATCTCACCTTTTCCCCGCTCTGGGACAGAATCTTTGATTCCCCTCCTTCCTCTCCTCCCTCCCCCTGGAAAAAAAAAAAAAAAAAGCACCAACTCCCCAGGGAGGGGCAGCAGACAGTAGTGGGGGGCGGGTGGAAGGAGGAGAGCAAGGACCATCAAGGAGAAGGCTCACAGATCCCTGGCAGGGCAGGGCGTTACAGAGAGGAGAGGGGGTGAGGGCAGTGCCGCTCCTGTCCTCTGCCGCCCCTGCCCACTGTCCGGGGGGGGCTTCAACACAGCCGAGAGGACAGGTGTGTGTGGGGTCAGGTCTGATAGGGAGAAGAGAGGAGCAGGAGAAACAAATCGTTAAAACCTAGCGAATTCCCCTAAGAAACATCTCTTCCTCCGTTCCTTCTGGAGGCTCCTTGGTCGGTGGGGGAGGAGTGAGAAGTTGATAGGAAGAGAGAGGAGAAGAGGAGACGGTACCAAGGGACTTTCCTCCACGTTCCACTCTCCCCGCCGCCAACCTGGAGCTCACCAGGGCTGGGAGGGAAGTGGCTGAGAGCTCACGGGCACCCCCTCGGCCCCCGAGAGGGAGCCCACAGCTGTGGGGGGGGCTGTCACCACCGCCGCCGCTGCCGCCGCCGCAGCCGCTGCCGCCGCCATAGGACACACCTCACCGGTACCTGCGCGGGCGGAAGCACCGGGAGATCACAGCGCAATCCCATCGGCAAGAGCCTCACCCCTTGCCCCAGACTCCTGCCCAGACTCCTGCCCCTGGGACACAGCCGTTGCTCACTTCCTGTTTGGTCCCCGGAGGCTTCCACCTGCATCCTTTCCCAGTTCTCCTTAAGGGCCCTCCCTGTGCCCAGAAGGCTCCCTAACTTCAGGGGTGGATGGGCATCCCTGGCCTTCCTGAGATCCCCTACTGGGCCCTTTGAGCCCCCTCGTCCCACACACCCCATCCCACCCCCCCCAGCCATGCCCCACGCCTTGCCTGGTGGGTGCGGGGGTCCCCCTCAGCAGGTGGGCTGTGGCTGGGGGGCGTCTCCCGGGACAGGGGGGGCGGCCCCCCCCAGATGGGTCTGCATGTGGCCGGCCAGCTGGGCAGGGGTCTTGCAGTGCACGCTGCACAGCTTGCACAGGATGCGGTCAGCCCGCGGGGCCTGGAGCCCGTGGTCCTTCACCGCGTGGATGCGCAGGTATGCTGCTGTGGTGAAGCCTATTGGGGGGGTGGATTGGGATGGGGGGGGATGGGGGGTCAGCCAGGCGGAGACCCCAGAGACGGGGTTGTTCTCCTAGGCTGGGGACGCCCTCCTCAGATGGCCCTGTCCTCCTCCCACCACATCCTTGGTAACCTGGGGCCAACTACTCTGTTGGGGCTGGCGGGGCACAGCCCCTCCCTCAGTTTGGGACCTGGGTGAGTGGTGTCAGCTTCTCAGCCTTGGTACCCACAGAACCTATTTTCTGTGGCTAGGGGGAACCTCTCCGGGGGTGAGAGAACACTGATTCCTAGCCATTTGAAGAGTTGACCCTCAGCAGAGACGGCTGTGTCCCCTCCCTCCAGGGCCCCGGACGGTCTCAGCCCAATCACTCAGTGAATTCGTGAAGCTTTCTCTGCTACTGGGGCAGGGCACGGGCTTGTTAATCCCCTGCCAGCATACTCCGCTTTGCCCCAAGAGCCGAAGAGCGCAACGTGTGGCCGCACAGCCGAAACCCTGTCTTCCAACCCTTGGGAACTGGCTCTCTTGACCACTCCCTCCCCAAAGCAGCCCCTTCCCCAGAGCAACCCAACCCCAGAGGCTGACTCTCTTTCTGGGAGCTCAGCTCCTCTGGTCAAGACCTCTTAGAACTTAATGAGATTCAGTCGACCCGCCGCTGCTCCATTTGCTTCCTAAAGGGCTCTAGATGCTGTGAGCTCTTGGCTACAGCACCTTTAAGCCTCATCTGTGGAAGGGCCTCTGGCTCAGAGCCCACCCTTCGTCCCTGGCCCTCCCAGCATCCCTCAGCACGTACCTTTGTTGCAGAGCTCACAGACGTGGTGAGGGCCCTGGCTGTGCACCTTCATGTGGTCCGAAATATAAGCCGAGCTCAGCATCTTGCCACACACGTGACATGGCACCTTCTCCTCGTGTCGGACTGTGTGCGCCCGCAGTCGGTCCTTCGTAGCAAAAGCTGCCTCACATTTCTGGGGAGGGGGGAGGGGCGTGGGGGGTGTCAGGAGAGTTAAAGCTTCGGGGAGTGGGGACAGGGGGGCAAGAAGTCAAAGGAATCAGAGCCTTGGGGATCTTTGATCTGTAGGAAATGGGAGTGAGATGACAAGGTCTTGAAAAAGGATGAGACAATGGCGTGAAAAAGCAAAAAGGAGAGAAAAAGGGGGTCTGAGAGGCTGAACTCAGACAGCTACAATGAGGATCCAAATCATGAAAACCGGGACAGGAGGAGGAGGCGGGCTTCCTACCTCACATTTGAAGGGCCGTTCTGTTGAGTGCACTTGTCTGACGTGACTGTTGAGGTGATCCGGCCTGGGAATACGTTGGGGTTGGGGTTAGGGCCCTGCGGTGTGGACGTGCTCCCCAACCAGCCTAATTCTTATCAGCACACCCGGCCTTTCCTAAGCTGCCTGCACTTTCGCCCAAGCCCCAGGCTCGCGAGTCCCTGTGCGGCAGGAAATCCCTCCCCCTGCCGCCCGGCGGGCTGGTCCTCCTCCCCCGCGAAGCCGCCTCCCAGGCGGAGGACCCACCTCCTTGGCTAAGTACCACCCCCTGCTCCCTGGTAACCAGGAGAGGCTTTCCTCCCTCCTCCCGGGGAGTGGCTCCCGGTCCCCATCCTCAGAAGCCGCCTCCCTCCCCGCCAGCCAAGGCCAGGCCACCTCCGTTGCCGTCCCTCCCTCCCCCCCCGCCCCCCCCGGCCCAGTGGGCGGCCGAGGCCCCGTGCACACCGGGAGAAGCTCTTGCCACAGTGGGAGCAGTTGTAGGGCTTGTGCACAGCGCCGTCATGTGAGCGCACGTGGTAGCTCATGCGGTCCTTGCGCTTGAAGCGCTGCTGGCACACCGGGCACTGGTAGGGCTTCTCGTCCGAGTGCGACAGCTTGTGTCGGTTCAGGTGGTAGACGTCGCGGAAGGCCTTGCCGCACATCTCACAGGCGTGGTTCTTCCGGATGCGCTTTCCCGAGGCGGTCGTGGTCACCACGCCACCCGCGGCCACGGCGGCCGCTCCGCCGCCCGCACCCGCCTCTCCCCCTCCCCCGCCGGCTCCGCTCAGCTGGGGCACGCTCAGGAGGCTCAGGGGCACCATGGTGGGCATCTTCATAGCACCCGAGGGGACCCGGCCGGCCTTGGCTCCCGTGTGGATGGCCTCGTGCCTCCGGAGGTTGTAGCCGTTCTTGAACTCCTTGGCGCACAGGGCGCAG